AAGACTGCAGAGCTTGCAACACAGTTCTTTATTAATCCTGCCACTAGTCAGCCAAATGTGTCTGGGTTAATACTTGCTGGATCAGCTGATTTCAAAACAGAGCTAAGCCAATCAGATATGTTTGATCCACGCCTCCAAGCAAAGATACTTAATGTGGTAGATGTATCATATGGTGGGGAAAATGGTTTCAATCAGGCCATTGAACTATCTGCTGAAATTTTGGCAAATGTGAAATTCATACAAGAAAAGCGCTTGATAGGGAAATTTTTTGAGGAAATCAGTCAGGATACTGGAAAATATGTGTTTGGTGTGGATGACACGCTAAAAGCTTTGGAAATGGGAGCTGTGGAAACACTTATCGTGTGGGAAAATCTGGATATCAATCGCTACACTGTTAAAAACAGTGCGACTAACGAGATTGTCATAAAACATTTGAACAAGGACCAAGAGGCGGACCAGAGCAACTTCAGGGACGCAACCACGTCCGGTGAATTGGAGGTTCAGGAAAAGATGCCATTGCTGGAGTGGTTTGCTAACGAATACAAGAAGTTTGGTTGCGTGCTCGAGTTTGTGACAAACAAATCTCAAGAGGGATCTCAGTTCTGCCGAGGATTTGGTGGCATTGGTGGAATCCTTCGCTACCAGCTTGACATGCGATCTTTTGATGAGCCATCTGATGAAGGGGAGCTCTATGAGGATTCAGATTGAGCTACGTCTGCCTGCTCCTTCTGATTGGAATTGGGAGATGAATGTTGTAAGGTCTGCAGTTAGCCCCATGAGTTTTGGATGTTGTATTACAACTTTGATTAAAGAGTTTTGCCTAAAGATGTTTACATTTGATTGTTTGGACTTGTGTTGGAAGATTGCATTTTGCTAGAGTAATGCAAATTGGCAATTCTTGTTGAATGGACCTGTATGCGCTAATGTTTGTATGAGTTTGCAGAAGATGATTTTAAATTGTTAGCTTCAAGGAGTGGTGCCTGATGTTGCATTTATATAAACAATACTAACAAGGAAGGCAGAGAATACTACGTTGAATTTGTTTGGCGGCTTAAAAAAATGCATGATGAAGATTAATATGTACTCTTGGATAATCGACACGTGCAGGTCTTGCTAAGATACCAGAATGACATATTATGTCCTATTTTTGTTGGATAAAAATAGTTCATGCCACTTCAATAAAATAGGGTTAGGATGATAGATTTATGTTGTCAAAATGGACTAAAAAATCATTCCGTGAGTGATTGTGGGACATCAGTCGTTGTGCAATCTGCCAAGACTGCTTTCTTCTCTTTACTAAATAAGGAGAAGCCTTGCATGAGATAAAGGGTGGAAATTGGCGAAACCATGATAGTTCTGTTATACATATCATGGTTGCTTCTAACTGCAGAGAGCGTCAATATACGGTGTTTGGGGTTCCTGTCCTTGTTGAGAAATATAATTGGATTGTAGATGAAAAGATCCCTGGTTATGTAAATACATAGTTACACTACATGGCAAGAAACAAGTTTCGACAAACATAGAATTGAGATTAATTCTAAAGAAGTCTCTAAGGGGAAGTTACAGCTTGTCAAATCATTCTGAAGAGATCAATTCCACTGATACATGATCTGGGTTCTCATGATATCTGAATAATGAAGGCTATAATCAAACTCTACTGGTTAAATTAACTTGAGGAAGAATTGTTATGTCAAATAATTTTCGATCCAGCTGCAGCCGCATTTTCATTGAACATTTGTGCTAGATTCGCTACCAATTTGAAATGGTGTCTTTGTCCACCAGTAACATTAAACAGGTGAACAGGGCTTTGGAGATTTTACGGTGGTCCGGGTTCCATCTGCAAAATTTTGGAATGTGGGGAAAGTTGATGTGACAGAGAATTGATGAAGTCCATCCATGGTGGCCACTGACCCTTTTCTAAATGCGGATGGTGTTCTGCTTCTTGCACCATTGCACCCTGTTCAGACTGATGTTACCTAATGTCCTTGCTCCATGTGAAGTGTACAAACCTTCAAGCAGTTCCGACTAAGGGATGTGTCCTGCTGTTTTTTACTTCATATAGCAATTTGTTAAAAGACTAATGTCTATGCGATGCTCAGATGTCCTCGCGGGCAGCAAAGGCAGATGAAGCAGCTCACAGCTTTACTGCAGACATTAACACATGTCGCATATCAATCTGTTGCATCTTCAAGCCCATGTGATTCATCTTCTCACATGCATGGATGAAAGGGAAGGAAGACGCGTTGGTGAAATGAAATGGATGAGAACTGAAGCTGTGCACGAAAAATTTCAATCATCGAGTAATTATTTGATTGTCATTGTCATCCAGCTAAAATATTGAGGCGTGGTGTCTAACCAGTACTGGTAAGTTTGGTCCTTGATGCGCTGTTCCCAACAGAGACAATAATAATTTGATGTTGTTTAAAAGTCTTCTGTCGACTATAACTTACTAGTCAATCTAGCTATTAGTCGTAAGAAAATTTAACACCAGAACTAATCAGTTTCGCAACCTGAGCAAGTATCTTTCTTACCCATTGTTTTGCCTTTTTTTTTTTTTAATATTTTTCTTTTGTTCTTTTGGTTTGTTTGTTTATTTTCCTTTTTGTCATTCCTGCTTGAGATACCTGAGAAGTGTCTTTTACACCCTAATTTCTTTCAAATTGCATGATTTTACCTTTTCCAATCGAACTTCAGATTACCTACGTTGATCAAATCGAAGAAGATGTAGATGGAAGCATTTATATTCAACCGGATAAGTAGTAGTACAAGGAAACAAAAGAAGAAGAGGTATTTTGCAAGATCACAATCATTGGTGGGGCTAAAAATATAGATGAAATGATCAATGGTGTATTCTGGATTGAGCCTGAATGCCATCAACCATGATCATTGGTCCTATTCCAGGTTTTCAATTCTTCCAGGCTGGCCCTTGTCCCGCATTATCCTCCTCCCATGCTTCTTCCAACAGTAAGGACCAGCCCTACCCACTCCCCTCCCCCACTTCCTTCCCTCTAACTTTTCCCTATCTCTTTCCTCTTCTGGTTTCCATGACTTCTGGGCTCTTACCATTTATCACCTCAGGAGATGCTAGCTGATAGTGGTATTATCAAAACCATCATAGTACAAGACAATGGAGAGACTACACGTACATCCATTGCATGCTATCATAAATAGTCTGTTGCTAATTAAAGTGATGTTCATCGCCTTGGTCATCAAATAGCAAAGACCCCAGTTCTTGCTCACCAAGATGTGTCCTCAAACCGAAGAAAACTCCCTAAATCAACAAAAGAAAAGCAAACAAGAAGCGTTTAAACAACTGAACATTTTTTTATCTACAAGCCTGGTTTTTTTTTTTTTTTTGTCTCTTTTGAGATGCTTTTTCTGTTGGAAGTGGTTGGCGGTAGATCATCAAAGAACTGCATTTGTCCTACATCCTACGCAACTGTGAGTGAATACGTTCCCTGACTTATGTGAAAGAGAGAGATCAAAATTGACATGTGGTGTACATTGTTCATTTCTTGAGCATCCTACTAATATACAAAATTTAATAGTATACAAAATGAACGCTAAGACTAATGCAGTTCTTCCACTATCTGGTCTCCTGCATCATCATTATCAATCTCCTTCTTCTCCTTTCGACCAACGGGAGATAGAGGAGAAGAAGTAGGAGAAGAGAAAGAAGAAGAAGCAGACAAAAATGAAGAATCATGATCATGGTCAGAACAAGACTTGTTAGAATTGGAAGACGCAAGTCCAATGAGTAAATCAACAAAAGCCCCCACAATAAATCCGTGATTTGTCTGCCCATTCATCTTTAGATACCATGCAAGCAACTCTTCCAAAGATTCCCAATCTTTTAATCCATTTGTCTCCACCATTTCCTCCATAGACTTCTTGAAATCCAAATAAGGATCCTCCGATTCCATGGCTAGCACAACACTCTCTTTCAGAGGTGGAAAAGTTTCGGAGCTTTTCTCAACTTCTGCTGCTTCTTCCTCTTCTTCTAAGATCATAGAACTTCTTCCTCCAGGCTCAAAAAACAACCTTTCTGACCTCACTCCCCGAAGTATCATCTCCAGTGACTCTTCCCCTGAGTTTTCCTCGGATTCAGTTGAGAAGCTGGCCGACTCTGATGAGTTTGTAAACCAAGAATCTTGTGTTTCAGATATCCCGATATCCAAAGGGTCGAAGTAGACAGAGTTAACCGTCTTGAACACGTCATCCCCGGCTCGAAAAGAGAGTGTCTTGGGCTGGTTGCAAGAGGGCCATTTCTGCATCAAGGAATGATGGTTCTTTGCTGTTTCTTTGTTCTTGAAGATTGAAGGGATCAGCTTCATTTTCCTGCCTGTTTTCCTAAATGGGGTTGTGATCTGAAATCTAACTTTTCTTGACTTTCTTTTAGGGAGGTGTTGGGATATGTAAACTTGTGAATGACGTGTGTTCTCAATGAAGAGGGGGGTTGGTATTTATGAAGATCAGCAGGAATAGGAGAGGGAAGAGAGGTGGAAAGAAGATGGGGCTGGTAGGACCTTTCATGTGGGTATTAAATTGTAGGTTTGACAGAATTTATTGTGACACCAGGCTTACTTTGCAACAAGTGAACTACGTATAACAACATATAATAGACTTTTGGTTTTGTGATTTGTCAACTAAACTGGTTTTAAAACACAAATTATGTTCATATCAACAGTTTTGTTTGTTAATCAAATGTGGCCAGCCTGCTCATGTTAATTGTTCATGCAGGTTCGTCCTGATTTCTTTATGTTTCGGGATAATGACAAAATCCCATGTCGGAACGTGGTTGGGGGTTTTATTCTAATTTCAGCTACCCAAACATACGATCCTTCAGATTTTGCCTGGAACAAAAAGTAAATCAAGATACCATTAAATAAATCGAACAAGAGTTCCTGCTCTTTATGTTTTGGCATGTGAAATTTCTTTCATGCTGATGGTATCAAGTTAATCATGACGGATCCGCGTTGGAACTTTGGTTCGCGTGGCAGATAATATTTTTGATGCAAAAGCAGTGGAGAAGTAGATTTAGATTAGTTTATGCAGTATTCAAGAAAATCTGTCTCTCATAATGTTTCACAATCAATAATGATCTATGTTTATTTAGTGAATATGGCCAGAGGTTCTGGTAACACATGCATTAGCACCTAGTTAGCTTGAGATGATGTTAAGATCACAGTGGGGATGATAGTAGCAACTTTCAGAAAAAAGCCAGTACTGTCCATGTTATGTTATTATTTGAGGCTATATATGTATGCATTTACTTTCCCATAAATTCTCTAATTTCTTACTGGATCATGAGATATCACTAGTTGATATCTTTACTGCCTGAACAACTGATATTTTTGGGACCATTTTCCATTTGGAGATGTGATTTTCGTTTTTGTTGGGCAATATTTTATACTTTGGTATTTTATACTTGGGCAATATTTTTGGTATGTATTGAATTGTTCCAGATTTTTGATCCAACTGAGGCCGACAACATTTAAAGGAGGGATTTGAGTCACTCTAGGCTTGATTAGAGTGCTTTTATGTACCAATGGTTCTCATTCTGTGCCATGAATAAGGTTCTTGATTCTGGATCTGAAATCCTGGTCTAGATTCCTATATAGGATTCGCTGCATTTAGGTTCTTCTCCCTTTTCTTGTCTTTAGGTAAAATTAGGCTTATGTGATTACTATCTCAAGAATTTAATTCGTTCTTGAAGGTTGGGAAGCATGGTATAATCATTGAATTCACTGATCCTGACTACAATACTAGGCGAAGTGCCACTTACCTGCCTGAGGTGGCTGCTCATGAAGGTGATTCTTGTTGCATTCCTTTTGGTTTCTCAGTTTGAGTCCTTTGTAAGCCTTGACCACTGAGTAGCGACAACCTTATATCATTTTTTATTTTCTAAAGCTGAACATTTTCCCTTTCATTCTTCTCTGGGCATCTTTGGTTTCAATTTCTTATTTTCCTTGCTTTTTCAAAGGTACAACATAATGACATGATACCATACCAATAAAGAATAGTGTTCAGTTAGGTTTTCTTGACTTTTTAACTCTTCTTTCCCAGCCCCACTGCAATAGTGAAAAACAAACAAAAAAATGTGTTTTATTTTTTTGTCAAAAAAAAGTGTTTTATTTAGTTCATTTTGTTGATGTTCCACCTGTGTACTTCTCAGGTGGGATAATTTTCCCTTTTCTTTTCTTCAATTTTTTTGAGTTTCAACTTGATAGCTTTCACTGAGACTACCACAGTCTGAGTACAGAGAAGAAGCTGTGCATTCGCATTCAATTATTGAGTCATCCTGGAGGCAAGCCTTATCAGTTATTGCCAAGGCTACGCCTAAATGCTTTGAGTTAGACTGGGATTCTGATTTTCACAAATGGACCGGTATTACTAGTATATGTGGTTGTGTCATGGAACTGTTCAGAAGGAGATCTTTTTGGCTATGAAGTTTATGCTCCACATCTGTATGGGCATATTACATGATCCCCCTAGACCTTTTTGCATCATAAGCTCCATCTAAGCATGCGGTAGTCAATGGGTGTGTTTGGAATTAACACTTTTTGTGATGTGTGATGTATGTGAGATAATAAGGTGGTAGGAAATTGTGTTTATGATGCAAGCTAAATAATACTTGGAATTTTTTTTATTTATTTGTAAATTATGCTAACCAAACGGACCACATATTTTTTTGCTAATTTGAAGTTATGATTGTTCAACTAAAGTTGCTACTGTTGGTTTTAATTCTCAGGTTGGACAAAGACAGAAGCAATTGATTCACTGATTCGAAAAGCGGGATACAATGGCTCCATAACTGAATCACTGCGAAAGCGCATCCGACTTACCCGCTATCAGAGTACATTATTCACTATGCACTTCAGTGATTATGTTACTTATGTCAAGACAACCCGAGGCTCTGCTCCTGCTATCAATGGGGTAAAATCAGGCTATTTCTGATTGTGTGGTTGTACCTAAAATTTAGACTACAAATAGCATTTGGTCGATCTGGGGTGGTACCTTGTCCCCAAAAGAATCGTCTGCTTGGTTGGGGCAAATTTGTTGTCGTTCCAACCCGCTGCAGCCATTGTTGCAAGTCGTAATTTGTCCAAATAATTCTTCAAATTCATTTGATTTTGAAGAATGAACACCAATAACTCCATTTGGATTTCATTAGGCCGTGCTCAATCCACAAGATTTCCAAAAGCTTGTGGTGAAATGGCTCCTGTTTATGAACTCAGCTGTCTGTAACAAAGGTATCCGATTTCAAATCTCTGTTTTGCTGTGTTCATGGTTTTATGCTTGCTTTCATTTGCGTTGCATTGCACGACATTGTGAACCGCATGAGATTCCTCTTGGAATCCGCTTCCGCTTGTACCTGCGAGGACTTTTGTAAAGGAAAATTTTGCTGAAATTCCGTGTCGGTGTTGAATTACTTGTGCCAAAATTCTACCATCGAGGTGGAATATTGTGCCCAAGAAGTTCCAGTTCACGACAGAGACTGGTACATTAGTGTTGTGCAGAGGCAGTGACGAACCGGACGAGGGGAACCGTCTCAGGCAGTTCACGGCCTAGATGAGGTCTCAAAAATTTGTGCGGCTCAAATCACGTCTTGTAATTAAATTTTCACGCTGTGTGGGACCCACAAAAATGTTGTTCTAATGTTACTCGCTGTTGTTCTATTGTTACACCTTGTACAGATGATGTTACACCATATACACATGATCTTACACCTTCTGGAGTGATTGTTCTGACAACCTAGGGGTGCAAACGAATCGAGCCGCTCGCGAGCGGCTCGATTCGAGCTCGAGCTGCTCGAGCTCGAGCTCAAAACATTAAGCTCGTTAGCTCGCGAGCCGGCTCGCGAGCTCGAGTATATATATATTTATTTTTTTTATTTTTATTTTTAATAGTAAAATTACATAAATATCCTTAATATTTTATTATTTATTAAAAAAAATATTATTTTATTAATTTTTTTAAAAATAAAATAATTATTTTTTATTTTTTCGAGCTCGAACTCGAGCTCGAGCTCGAGCTTGAAAATTACCAGCTCGTCGAGCTCGAGCTCGAGTTCGAGTTCGATGAAATTAAGTTAAGACTCGACTCGATAAGGCCAAAACTCGACTCGGCTCGACTCGTTTGCACCCCTATGACAACCGCTCCAGCCCCGCGTCCGTGACGAGCCACCCTTCATGTCGGTTTTGCTTAACTGGAGTAAAATAGGTCCCACAATGCTTAATTCACCCTTCTTTCTTTGAAGTTTTTTACTTTTAAACCAATATTTTGCCCGTTCTGATTTTTTTTTTAAATTATTGTAAATTTACTTTTTATTATTAATGATCTTACATGTTCATTCATATTAATTTTAGAAAATTGATGTATTTTAATTATTTAGCCATCACACTTATTTTTAAAACTTCTTCTTTATATAATTTTATTATAATATAGTAGTATTCATAAAAAATTGTAACGCATGTTAAAAAATCAGTAGATATTTTTTTCTGAGATATTCTTTTAGATAATTAAGGGTTTGTTTGGAAGGTCAGTTTTTTGCCTAGTTTTTCTTGTACAAAATTTTGAACAACTTTAACTATATTAAATGTAAAAAACTCCCAAAGTTTTTAAAATACACACCTCAGATATCCAACACAAAAAAATTTTTCCCTTCTTTTTCTTCTTCCACACACCTCAGTTTACCACCACCTCCATCCGTCAATTGCTACCAATTGCCACCTCTTCCCCTCTCCACTCCCTCTCTACCTTCCCCTTTTCCTTGCCGCCCCTTTCCCCTCCTCAGAACTCTCCCTTTCCCTTCTCTTGGTGGTCGCAGGACCAGAGCCTTGACCAGCTCTAGTTGGATTTGGTTGGATTTGATCGCGCGACCAGAGGTAATAAGAGGAGGGGCAAGAGAGGGGAAAGGGAGATGAGAGGAGAGAAGGAGGAGGAGGAGGAGATGAGGAGGGAGGGAGGAAGGAAAAGGAAAAAAAAGGTAGGAGAGAGGTTTCGACTTCAACTACTGGTGCTGACTAAGGGAATATGGTGGTGGCAGTAGAAAAGGAGGAAGAGGGGAAAGGGAGGGAGGAAGGAGAAAGGAACAAAGAAAAGAAAAAAGAGAAAAAAAAAAAGGAAAAAGAAAATTTGTCTCCCTAGCTCTCATATATACAAAAATTTGTAAGAGAGAATAAAGTTTTATACAAAAATCCAAAAAATATATCTTCCAAGTAGACCCTAAAATTCTTTTGATAATCATAAACTTTATACAAACATCTAAAAACATACCTTTCAAGCAGATCTTAAAATTCTTTTGATAACCATAAACTTAGAACCACATATTCTTTTAATTAAGTACAAAAGATCTAACAATTTATTTTCTTCATTAATGAATGTTTATTAGTTTTTAGTAACATTGATAAATTTATCTGTGTAAAAATTAAAGTTTTTCTTCTATACTGAGTTAATCCATATGGATTAAAAAAATTATATGAATTTAGCAAAAAGATGGAATTGCTGGAAGAGAGAGGAACCATAAGAACCAATAAATTTAATTTATTGAAAAATAAAATTGTCAGAAGAGAAGGACACTGTACAAAATTTATTATAAAAGAGTTAGATACAAATATAATAAAAAAAAACTCAAAAGTACCCAGATAACCGTTAATAACAGCCAGAGAGAATAATCTTTTGCTTGGAGAGAAAAAGTGAAGGGGGTTAAAAGTGCTGCTGCTGTATACAACTTGTTTCATGTATTGTTTCAATGCAAACATCTCTTGCTTTGGGAGAATAGAAAATCCAGAAGTTGCTAAGTAGAGCAGCGAAACTCGTAGTCTGGCAAAAGCGCGAAGTAGTCAACCCCTCCGCTTCCTCCGTTTATCACCAACTTTTCTTGATCAGAAAAAAGGAGGAAAACGTGATCAAGTCGTAATTAGTTAAAAGCTAATTAAGCAAACCTCCTGACACCTGACTCCGTGGCCCCAGTGCCATTTATTTCTTTCTTTGGACATCAAATTAATCTCAAATCGTTTTCCGGAGCAAAGGAAAAACCAACAGGGCGAGGTCTCTCTGGAGTCTGGAGTCGTGACTGTGCGTGCTGACGAAGTAAGCAAAACAAATCTCAACTCTTCCAAATTTGAATTGTATCTTTGTCTCTCAGCTTGATCACTAGCGCTTTCCTCCCAATTATTTCTCTCTCTGTTTTTTTGCCCCTTCTTCATTACTTATTATTAATATGTAAATGATTTCGCATTGATTTCGATAGATTGGAGCATTTCTTTTGCCTTTCGCGTTTACTGTCGTAAGGTACTGGTAGATCGAGCTTTCAATCGGAAAATATTGCGGGTGCTCTAATTGCCAAACGAATTCTGATGTTACCGACAAAATTTGCTTCTTCAATTTTGGAAAGAACGCAGTTTTTTATTTTTTTAAAGCGTTACGGTTTCTATCTTGTTCGACTTGAGAGTGTGGCTGAGGTTTTTGTGCTGTGGATTTTGCTGATCTCTCTTTCTCAAATTCGAACAATTTGGAATTGGTAATTTTGGTTTACTGCTTCGCGTTTTGCTTTTGATTTCTCATTTGTGCTCTAATTCAGCAAGCTAGGGTTTTATTTCCCGTACCCGTGATAAAGTCTGTTTTAAGCTGTTTGCCGGATATTTCTTTGTAACAGGATAGTTGCGGTGTAACAGCATACGTTTTCCTGGTCCAATTGATTTTGTTCCGCATGATTTCCGTTCATCTGTCTAAATTTCTGTGACCATAATTTGCTAATTGAAACTGATGGATTGGTCTTCATTTCATATCTAATTTTTTTTTAAGTTTTAGTTGTTGAATTGAAGGGTATTTGGCACTGGCTGGAAACATATTTTTGGTGCTTTGAATAGCTTAATTCAGAAATGAGTCAAAAGGGGTTGATTTACAGCTTTGTCGCCAAAGGAACAGTTGTTCTTGCAGAGCACACACCCTACTCTGGCAACTTCAGTACCATAGCTGTCCAATGCTTACAGAAGCTGCCATCAAATAGCAGCAAGTATACATACTCGTGTGATGGCCACACCTTCAACTTCCTCCTTGACACTGGATTTGGTATTGGCCCTTTTACGTTCTTACTGACACAAAGAAGTTTGTTTATTTTTAGTTATAAATAAGTCTCATAATGAGCAAATGTATTTTTGAACCTGTAGTTTTTCTTGTTGTGGCGGATGAATCAATGGGGAGGAGTGTACCTTTTGTGTTTCTTGAGAGAGTGAAGGACGATTTTAAAAAGCAGTACGGTGCCAGTATCAAGACTGATGGGTCTCATCCACTTGCTGATGATGACGATGATGATGATTTGTTCCAGGACCGTTTTAGCATTGCATACAATCTTGATCGGGAATTTGGGTATGTTGCTTATGTTCTGGCATATTTCTAATTAACCTTTCCAAACCTAGTGCACTCTTTTCTGTCCTGATGGCAATTATTACTTTATATACAGTTCCCTAAATTTCTTAGTGTTGTGTTCCTTGTTGTAGACCAAGGCTTAAAGAGCATATGCAGTATTGTATGAACCATCCTGATGAGATGAGTAAGCTGTCCAAACTGAAGGCTCAGATTACAGAAGTCAAAGGCATAATGATGGACAATATTGAGAAGGTAAGTGCTTCTTTTTCTGACAGGCAAACTAACTTACAGATGCTTCTATTGGGGCATAGAAAGAAAATATCTGAACAAGTTATAAATTCTTTTCTGTGTCTATGTCCCTAACTCCCCTCCTCCACCTTATTTCATCATCCCTTTGTATAATTTAGGCTGGTTTCTTGTACACAAGATCACGGTAAAGAGTTGAAGATTGAAGTGCGCTCTTGAGATCAGAAAGAAAGTTTTCTTTTTTAATTTGACAAATCACTTTTTGGATTTTGCAGCAAGGAAAGAATAAGGGTTTTCTCCTCCGTTCTTGAATAAGTTATAGTCTTAGTTGTGTTGGGTTGAACTGGGAATGTGGATAACAGGGAGACAGACTCATCATGTTCTGGGGTTTTGGTTACCTTTGGCACTTAGTCAAGCAAAATAAAGTGTTTTGCATGAGGAAATGTGCACCTTGTGGTTAAGAAACTATAATCTTGAATTTGATTTTTGTTACTTGTTAGAACTTAGGGACTTCTGGGTAATTTTCAGATCCAAGGAGGTTTGACTTGAAATTTGAATGAGTACCATTGGAAAAGAAATTTTCTCATCTGAGACATGACTGAAGGATCTAGAGCTTGGGGGTTAAATTGATTTAGTATGAAATGCCAGAATTTTGACGTGGTTCCCGAATTTTCAATTGAGATGCTTTAACATTTAATGTTTGGCGAGGTTTTGCTCTCGTACTTAAACACATGATCACATGTTATTGGTGTGGCTATCATGAAGTAAAGCAAACTAGTTGGTTTCTCCAAAATAGTTGAGCAACATAATTGTTTAGGCGTAAGAAGGGGAGAAAGTTAAACTAGTAGCTTCGTTTTATATATGCAAGAAATTATCTCTGTAGACTGTTATGTCCTTGTTTTAAGATAATCTTCCCACCTACTTATATGCTCCGAAACCTGTGGAGGTTTTCACTTGAGCAATTTTATTTGAGGTATCTAATAGGGCCTGTGGGTGACGAGATGTAGTGGGCTAGAAGTAGGAACATTCTTCAATCCCCTCCTTTTAACCCGAGAAGGTAGGAAGTTGAATTATGGAGAATAGGAAGTTAAATTCCTTTTGTTCCCTTTGGTTAGGGGAGCGGCCTTTTATTGTGCGGTTGTGGAAATATAGACTATTCTTGATTCATTTTTGTCGGAGGTTGCCTTCTAGCTGTGGATATTTACTCTTTTCCTCTTCAGTGGTGAAGAAGTGTTGGTAGTAGATGATGACTTTTGTGGTTAGAGGCAAGGGCATAAATCATTGGATGCAGCCAGGAATGATTCATTAGATATCATTGAAAGTTTGATCTTCCTCAATGTGCTTGACTTGGGTGATTAAGATTGGAAAACAGTATATCAGTCAGCTTATTGATCTTTGTTGGGTTGGTAGAAAACTCCCTGTTTACTCTTTGGATGTCTAAAGCTCTTACTACTCTCTTTTGCCATTTGAGGCCTAGTTATAAAAAATTATTAACGAAAAGTTTGTTTGTTGGTGAGTTATGTTCTTGTGGATAAAACTGGTAAAACCAACATCTTCATATTATCTTCCTTGAAGCGTTTGTATCTCAGATCCATCATTAGTCAGAATTTTGTTTTAGTGCTTGATTCTGATTATGGTTGGGCGGTTTGGAGAAGTAGGTCTTAATTCTGCTATTCTAAGTTTTGGCTGGCTTTGGATGAGCCAAGAGACATTTCTTAAATACCAGTCCTTGTGGTGTTATAATGTCTAAGAATTAACATATAGATACTTTCCTGTTTTGAGTGGAGACTTGGGTAAATAGGATGCTGACATTTCAGTATCTTTGTGTCCATCTGTTGCCTTTTATATGCCTGAGTGTTTGAATTAGAGATTTCTTAAGTGCTTTGTAATTACAGTTGTCCCTCCCTTCCCTGCCTCCCCCCCCCCCTCCTTCTCCTTCTCTCTCTGTAGGACAGTAATGGCACTGGAGATGGTAACTGTTGGTTTTATTGTCAGCTAGTATGACCTTGGATTGAGTTTGAACTGCAACTTTTTCCAGCATGCTGACATATTTAGAGTGTCTTAGAGCAAGTAATCTCTTTAAACGCTTGTCGTTAATTGTTGTTGGTTCTTCAGCACTACAGTTTCTCAGCAAGACTGTCAATCAATTAAGCTAAGTTTGGGGAATAGAATATTTTAGGAACTTATAAATAGTTTCCACTTGAAGACTAAACTTTTATGAGATTTTAGCAGACTAGATTCACTTTAGAGCAATTTGCAAATTTTTCGTTTATGACCAATCTTTGTGTTTTCATTTATCATGTTCACTTTCTTTCTCACACACCTCAGTCCCCATCATCCTCCTAACACTCCAAACATCCTAGTGTGGTCTTAGAATTTATTGTAAAATGAGTTGGAAAAATTTGAATGTTGCTTTCCTACAATATAATATCATCGGGTCAGATTTTGAATATCTGATGTAAAAGGCTAATTTTCTGGAAAATAATGCTTGTGCTGATCCAAAACCTTTTGTTCTCGAGTTACAGGTTTTGGATCGAGGTGAGAAGATCGAGTTACTTGTGGATAAAAGTGAAAACCTTCAGTTCCAGGTAACCACCTTATTTTTTTTGATGTAGGTGGCATGCAACCTCCGGAACCTTTGGAGTTTCAGGCTAATCTGTTTTCTGTTAATTGAAATCTGTTCAGGCTGACACCTTCCAGAGGCAAGGGAGGCAACTTCGTCGGAAGATGTGGCTTCAAAACCTTCAAATGAAGTTGATGGTTGGAGGTGCTATTCTTGTTCTGATCATCATCTTCTGGCTCATAGCATGTGGAGGTTTTAAATGTTGATTGTTGATCGCTTTTTGTGGAGGGTATAACATTTGGCTTGAAAACATATTGTTATCTGTCCTTTGTAATGTACAAAGTGTTGGTACTCTGCTGTATATTCAACCGCTGCTGATGGAATATTACACTCCTGTTTACTTATCTAATATATATGCTAAGCTACTGGTAGCTTTATTTTTAGCTTGAAAGGATGGGAATCAAGTCCGGAGATGTGAGATATTGGTGATTTAAATGCTCAACTGACTAACGCTTTATATGCAGTGAAGGATGATGCATTAATGGTCAACAATATGCAAATCCTACTTGTAAAGTACTTATTATTTTTATTATTTTTTTGGGCTTAAAGAGTAAATTGCTTGCAACAGACGAGAGCAATGGGCGGCTCAAGTGGGGTTGAAGTACTTTGTCCATTGCAATATGCAAGTACTCCATTTCGCTGCATCCGCATCCCTTATAATAGAGGTGAAGACAATTCAATCCAATGAGTGGAAAAAAAAAAAAAAAAATTTACTTGTAACAGTTTATGATATTGCACCCTCTGATAACTTTGAAAATTTTCACTTGGGTAAATTAATAAATCCTCGCGTAAACGATTTAGTGCACTAAGATTGCAATTGAAAAACATACGCTTCTTAGTATTGATGTAATACATTCCTGAGAAGAAAGTTTTGAAGTTTTGTCACAATTTTACTGTAGATCTTGTCCTTATTTTTTTCCCCTTATTTCGAATATTCAAAGCATAGATGTGGTGATCCTATATTCTTTGATGAAAATTATGTGTAATGATTGGTTAATATAATATACTCTTTCCAGCATTGAGCGTAACTTCTTTGCAAATTTGCTTTAAATAAACCTTCAAATCATTGTGCAAAGCGTATGCACACACACTCTCATACACTCATATTAAATACTCCCTGTTTGGGTAATCTTAGCATTTATGAAACATTAGGACGTACCTTTTGAGCTATATATTGGTCGCTTTCTATTTTTAAATTTTCAAACCTTTACTAGAAGGGACCTGTCTTAACACTACGAGGGGAAAAAGCCACGCTGTGAAAATAAGAATATTATATAAGCTCCTAATTAAGATGCATTAAATTTTCTAATTACCTATTTCATTTTTAATGATATCAACTTGACAACAATATAAGGAGAATTAAAGCCAGTGTCAATCTTCGATGTGGCTATTTTAAAACAATGGAAAATGACCTTTCAGATGGCTATTTTCATATTTCATGTAATTATCTCTGTTAAAATATGGAGTGAATCAAATCATATTTAATAAGTTTTGTATCTCATTTTGATTTAATGATCTAAAGTCGAAACCAACAGGGAAAACATTAGCACTTCGTCATGCATTAAGCGCGATAAACTGAGTTAACCGTTTAAGTATCTAAACGACCGATAACTAAATTAACGATTCAACTTCTCTTAACGGTAATTAACTAAATTAACCGCTTAATATCTAAAAACCATTGCTGTCTAATCAAATCAAATTCTAGCTCAATGACAATAAAAATGATTAGCAGTGATGTAAGATGTCTTGAAAATTTTTTCATTTAAGAATTTTGTTAATGTGTATATTAATGCCAACTTTTTTATTCTAATTTTAATCAAGAAGTTCTTCTTCTACTCTTTTTTTTAATTAATCTTTTATATACTGATAGAGTAAACACCGTTATCACTAGATGCATGATAATTCATTTGAATTTAAATTGAAATTTCAAATTTTGCTCTGTCATGCATCTAACGGTCATATATATATAAGATTTACTCTCTCTTTTTATTTTTATTTTTTGGTTAAAGGGAAGAAATTGCTGTTGTACCATTTCAAGTTTGCTCCCTCCTTAACTAGAGAAGGTAATTAATTATTATCTATATGTGTTGTCACCTCTGGTAATGACTGTAAATGAGAATATGCATGGTTAATTTGAGAGCTCATAGGAATGGTTAATCTAAGGGCGACCAATTAGTTGACTTCCTAATATTTGGACCGAAAAAGTTTCATCTGCATTATGGAATTCTAATAAAAAGAACACAATCTATAGGAGAAATCCTTCGATCCCTATTGAGATTTGGATGAATTTTTTTTTTCTTCTTAACAACTGAAGCATCACAGGGAGATTTGGATGATATGGTGAAGCATTCTTGTATAATACATGAACCCAAAGCAAGCACATGATCGAAATTAAAATTCAAATAAATTCTGCAGATGACAAATTAATTACACCACATGGTGCCTTGAACTGGCACACTTTAATCTAATGACCAACAAACACTGTTCATCTCAGTGTTTTCAGCAACAGAGAATTAAGACATATTATTAGAAATCTAGATTGCTATATATGGTCATCAGCTTTATTCATCGTCATTACCAGCAGCCTCCGTTGCCTTCTCATCTTCTTCTGGACCTCGGACAAACTTCATCCTCAAGCGTCCATTCTCCCTTGAAGCAGCCATGACACCCCGGGATCAATCTTTATCTCTTCCCCAGCAGATGCATTAGCTTTCTCATCAAACCTCTTGTAAGTAAAAGGTTTACCATATGTAGCCATTCTTAGGGTAGAGATAGGAGGGGGAAATCGCTTTTCAGAGTAGTTATACATGCACGAATCATTTTTGAAATAATTCTTCGTCTTAACAGGACTCTTCAATTTGTTCTGACGATTAACATCATCATCCTTGGAACCCTCACTCGCGCTTTCCTTGGATGAAACTTTTGGCAAAGGCAAAGGTGGTGAGAACTTGAGGTCACCAATGGACGTTGGGGTCTTGCTTTCTCTAAAATAGAGCTCCCGAACATCTCAAAGACGGGAGGGAATTCTTGATCAGATTCCACTGTGGACGGTTTTGGTGGTTGGTCTTTGAGGAGGTCGCTAAGGCTTGTGTACTTGTGTTCCGCCATTTCTTGGAGTTCAAAGTTGTAAGGAGCAAGAAATGGGCTGTTTGAGACAAGAGAAGAGGAGAGTTGGGGAGTGTATATATAGAGGTGAGATGTTCGGTATGCGGGATTGGGACTTGTCCCGTGCGTATGAAATGAGATACTTTTGTGTACTACTTTTTCGAACATACCATAAAAATTTTTTTGGTCAGTAATTTATCGTTTCAAACCTGTACATATTCAAATTTATTTCTTAAAGATTTATTTTTGACATTTGGCGTGAATTGACTGGGGGGGGTGCAAGAACCGTTTTCAGAACTCCTCTTTTTTTCCCTTGGGTTTCCTTAGATTTTCTGAGGTGAAAGCTTTACGTATTGGTTTAAATCAGGGAGGGTTATAGTGGATTAATCCGCTTGAAACTTAAAATTATATGACTAAGTTATGCTTTTGAGAAGTTATATCATATGCCTCCCAGCTTATTGGCAGTGGCAATGAACAGTATAGAGTTGATTTTATTGCACACAAACCTCCATAGAGCAAATTAGCGATTTTATCGACAACAGGAGACTACAGTCGACATGCATATGCTTAAGAAAATGTATGCCAATTGTCCTTGCCATAACCATGATGATGATGATGATGCAAATAGATAACGTTCCACGCCTCTTTTAATCACTGACAGTGCAAAGGAAAATCTCCTTGGTATAACGTCCACTTATCTCCTTGTGTAATTTTCATACCCAATTTTATCATGTGTTCTTTAACAACAAAAAATCTTTTTCAAAAAGAACAAAAAAAAATTGGCTTTAGCTATATAAAAACTTTTGTGGGAGTCTGCTGTACAATTGTTCGTCTAAATCTACAATTGACAAACTGATGCTAGCTATTGGTAGTCGGTACTGTAAAAGGGGTTTATTTTAGATAACTTTGTAGTTTATTTTAGTGTGTATGCGGGGAGCCTAGTCAAAATTTGTTACGCACTACAAAAAAAGTTTACGAGATAAAAGGTATGTTTAGGTAAAACTTGAATAACAATTACTATAATCAACCATTAGCAAATGACCGTAAAAATTTTTAAATTTTGTAATGCCCTCTTAAAGCTCGGATTACCGTCTACTCTCCCGTTGCTTTTGGCTTTTTCGCTTTCTTTCGTTTAGAATGACGCAGGTTTTTGTCTTAATAAGGGAGCATCTTAGAGTTCTTGTACCTAAATCGGAAGTTCAAATCCGATCATGTGCATTAAGCGGGTGCATTCAAATTCCACCTTGTGCATTAAGTGAGAGTGTAATACTTGTACCTAAGATTGAAAGTCCAAATCGCGGGAGTGTAGTACTTGTAACTAAGATCGAAAGTTCAAATTCTATCTTGCGCATTAAGCGAGAGCGTTCAAATCCCATCTTGTGCGTTAAGTGGGAGTGTAGTACTTGTACCTAAGATCGGAAGTTCAAATCCCATCTTGTGCATTAAGCGGGAGTGTAGTACTTGTTCCTAAGATCGAAAGTTCAAAATCCATCTTATGCTTTAAGCAGGAGTGTAGTACTTGTACTTAAGATCAGAAGTTCAAATCCATCTTGTGCATTAAGCGAGAGCGTTCAAATCTCACATTGTGCATTAAGCGGGAGTGTAGTGCTTGTACCTAAAATCGCAAGTTCAAATTCCATCTTGTGCATTAAGCGGGAGCGTTCAAATCCCACCTTGTGCATTAAGCATGAGCGTAGTACTTCCATTTTTTCGTTATAAAATTTAAAGGATGTAGTGATGTACTTATCTAGTCTAGCCACCATACAAGTTTACTTGAATTTCTCCTTCCGCCTAGTGTACAGGAAGGTGTAGATTATTGTCAAAAAAAAAAAAAAAAACGGCGTACACATAGAGAATGCTTTGTGTTCTCAAGCCCACACAACTATCTAAGTTCTTGTTAAGTAGATTGTAGTTACCATTGGTCTTGAAATGGTCTTGGATTTTAGATTATAGTTACCATTGGCGTACACATAGAGATTGCTTGTTTCTTTTTCATTTTTTTTGAACTGGTCTTGGATTTTTCCGTAGCCAAACTTTAATTTGGTATAAAATTAAAGCCACAAACTAGTAGAGAATTCTAAAATGTTAGTCATTATTCAATATGGGTGTAATTTGATGATAACTAAAACATGTGTTTAAAAAACTTTAAGCCTGGGTAGGTATTCACTAGAGTAAATTGTTAGATTGCAGTGTGTTATCCTTATTTAGATATCACAGGTGAGCAACCACATATGAATTATGAATGCACCAATTGTGCTGAGGGACAATTAACAGCGGTTTTTAAGGAAGAGGCCGGTATTGCTCCAAGAAATTGTGCAGATGGACAATCAATATTCCCATTCACCATTCTCATGAGGACATTTAAATAGACAAACAGATGAAGAGATTGTTCGGTATATTGATAGAGGTTCGTACGACATAATTTGTTCCACTTTGGGTGACTAGTTTGAGTTCGTTTTTCACACTAAAAAGTTTCAGGAATTGTTCGGTGAAACCCCAGTACAATAAATTTGCTGGATTCCTTCAAAATTCCTTTCAACCCATATGTTCGTTCAAGTATTGAAAGGATCAGCTAAACCAGTATAGCTAGCTAGATAGTCTCACTTGCAACTGTTTGGCAAGTCTATCAAACTATATAGTTTTCTAGTTTTTATTAAGTGCTTTTCTGAAACAAGTCTTTTAATTACTGCGTAATGCTCATTTTGACTCCGTTATAATGAAATTAACTTCAGAGTTCCTTCCCGTCTGTTTTGAATCAACCAGTCATGTAAATGAAACACAATATACGCACTCTGTAAATTTTAAAATTTGAACTACGTGGAATTAGTTAGATTAATTTTACTGTCAAAATGCCAGCCGGGAAGTAAAAAAAACTAGATCACAGTCCCTAACTTCTCTGATTTCTCGAAGTTAGGATCTGGACATGGTAGCAAAGTCAGGATTAGAAGCAACGTTGCATATACTACTATATATTACTCGAAGTTGGACGACCGGTTACAAGAAATCGCCGCCAAAAGGGAAGTTTCGGTATACAATTAATCAAGACTCAACCAATTCGCCTTACCAGATTTGGTTAATCATAAGTTGCAGGTCTGGTTGCAGGTAAGGGATTCAAAATCTTATACTTATATTAAAATTCAAGTGTATAGTAACATACTTCTTTGATTAAGAGATGGGATCCTGAATCTTTACCCCTTATAGCCTAGTTGAATTCTTCTGTAATATCGATTAGAGTAGAAATAATGTAGAATGACACTCAAAGAGTGTATAGTAGTGCACTCCCTTAATCCAGAGACAGAGATATTCTATCTCTAGCCCTCATGGTCTAGTTGGGCCTTACTGCCGATTAGAATCGGAAGAATTTAGATATCACCTATTGATTAAAAAGAAGAAGTTATCTATCAAGACTCAAGACTAAGGGGATCAAACTTGGTCAGATGTAGTCAAACTTGGTCACAAAAGTCAAGGGTGAAAAGGGTATTTTTTTTGAGTATTTTTTAAATATTTTACTGTAACATTGTACATGAAAAATTTTTACCGTAAATGATTTGGTATTTTTTATAGTGTTTTTGAGAGTATTTTTTAGGATGTATTTTGAAGTAGTTTTAGGATGTATCAAGGTGTTAAAATTTTAGTGACGTATTTTTAAAATTAAAAAAAAATTCAGCATTACCTACCACCACCTATCACCGCCCTCTCCCCCTACATCTCTCCTCCCCTTCCTCTCTTCTCCCCTCTCTCCTCGTCCCTCCCTCTTTCCTCCCTCCTTTCCTTGCATCCTACTGGCCCTTTCTCCCATCTCTAGTTATGTTGGCTGTGACCAGCACAACCAAAGAGCTCTTTGGTCACACCACTCTCTGGTTGAGCCTCCACGCTCTCAAAGTGCTCTCTAGTGGTGCCAATTGCAATCAGATTTGTCGCATTAGAGCTAAGGAGGAAGGAATGGTGGGATGCAAGGAAGAAAAGAGAGAAGGAGGAGGGAGGAGAGAGAAAAAAAAAGAAGGAAAAGAAAAGGAGAGATAAAGAGAAAAAAAAAAAGGAGGATGGCGACTGCCAGTGATGATAGCCACTAAGGTAGGTAGTGGTGAGTGATTATGGCATGTAGAGGAAGAAAGAATGCGAAGATTTATTTATATATTTATTAGTGCATTTGATTATGTTTTTGGAATTGTTTATGGAATTATGTGAGCTTTAAAAATAAAAATACGTATTTGATAAACACGCCAATACACCAATCCATACACACTAATATTTGACTTTTCATCAGTAAAACTGGAAATACATTATTATAAGTTCATTATTTTGTTTTTTATGTTTCAGCCCATCTATTTTTTTTTTTTGGCCATTATTTCTTCTCTGCTTTTTTCTCCTTTTACATCTTAACTAGTATTATTGTTGTTGCTGTTCTCATTGCCCCCTTCATTATTTGCGTTCCCCTCTCTATCATCACCAATATCATTTATAGCCTCCTCCTCCTCCTCAAGGTTGCCACTGTAATCACCACCATTCCCATAATGCTCGTTGTTTGTTGTTATGTTGTCAATTGACTCATCACCATCATGATCTGGATTCTCTAAGTCACTACCATCATCATCATCATCCAAATCTTCATCAGAGGTGGTGTAGTAGTAGTCACTCTCACTACTACTGCTATCATCACTACTGTCGTCATCGTCGTCATCATTCCTCCTTGGTGCTGCTGCTCTTCAACTCTTGGTCGACGGGGAAACCACATTTTTTGGTGGCTATTATGCCTTAAACAGGACATGGTATCTCGGCCGAGAAAGATCACCTCTTCCTCAGAAAAGTGCATCATTCATGTTAAGTTTATAGTAATTTAAATGCCTGGCTTCATTAAACAGGGACAAGCAAGAAATTGGTGGCGGAAACAATTTGCGCCTCCATAATTCACTGATGCATGGTATACATGAAATTTTCGTTGTAATCCAACCTCTCTTTTTTCAAAGGAGTTTCATGAATCATTTTTGATGCGGCTTCTTGACAGATATTGCACGCATGCATGCAAATTGTTGATAATCTTGTAACTTTGAATTATGCAGAGAATGGGAAGAAAACGCTGATAGCAGGTTGAAGCATTGCTGAAGTTTTAGGTGATAGATGTATATTATGTACTAGGCTGATGTAGAGGTGGATGGATATCCTTTCACTGGGGTTGGAAAAGAGTTTTGTTGGACGGTGGCTTGCATCAAGAGAGAAAATAACCGATGAGTTAGAAATCAGAATATGACAAATACCACCGTCACTAGCTATGGACTTTTTATAACAAACTAAAGCTCTATCTTGAATAATAAAAAACAGTGCTAAAAAGGAAACTATCAAAAGACAATAATAAATATTAACAAACAGTTGCCAATATATTAATTTATTAAAGCACAATAAAAGATTTTTAATTTTTCCTAAACTTCTTCGAGCGCGCGTCGTTGTCCGATTTGAGTCGAGTTCGAGTTATTCGATTGAAACTTCGAGTCAAGTTCAAGTACAGATCTAGGAGACTCAAGGCTCGACAAGCTCTATCGAATTTTCCATCAAATATTTAATTATTATATATTATTTTCCAAATTACTATTTTAGGTTTATTTGTTACAATTTTTTGCTATCATATATTTCAAAACTTTTTATCGAGCTCATAAGGTCTGAAAATTTTTTGAGCCCTAACAAGTTGAACTCAAGCTTATAAAGAACTTCAATGAGTCGACCTTGAATTTAGCTTGAAATACTTGTTCAAACTCGAGCTCGAACTCGACTCGATATCACCCCTATTTTAGCTCATTTTGATGGATCTAGACATAGCCACGGTTCCAAAATCATCAGTTCTGGTTTAAAAACTGACAATCTCACTGATGGTTTCGGTTCTTCTAAAAAGTGGAACCCAAACCAAACCTTGTAGGGATGGTTATGGTTACAATTTTTGTACCTTTGATTCTGATTCGGCTTTGATTTCAATTTATACCAATTACGGTTCTAAATTCTTTCAGTTACAGTTCTAGTTCTTTTAGTTATACTTAAACACTTATTGTTATAAATTCAATTTAAAATTATGACAATGAATGTTAAAAAAAACTTTATTGTATTATCAGTGCAAGGAAAAGTGAAAAATGATGCAAATTTTATTAAAAAAATATCGTACTATAGATTAAATTAGATGGGTCTTGGTTTTAGATTAGTTATAGGGTATAGACTTATAATGGAATATTGACAGTGGGTTGTTGAACTAGAATTAGAGAGCTACTAGTACTACGTGTTGATTATTAATATTGAATTCTAAACTGATCAAATAAGTTTAAGTAGCAAATGATTTATTAGAAAGTTTGAAAATTCTAAATGGCTGAGTCAAAATTTTGATGAACTTGAACTTGAACCTTTAGTTACAATTATGGTTCCAATTCCGATTTCTAAAATCTAGTTCTGATTTTAGTTCAACAAACAATCGAGTTGATTCTGATCAAATTTAAACTATGACCACCCTTGGTAAATCAGTTGTGTAGAGCATTTTTCTCATGGAACCTCTGAAATTGAACCATTCATTATTCTCAAAAAAAAAAAAAAAACTTTGAGTGTAAATTAAGTGCTCTAGGTGAGCAAACTTTAGCATGCTTAGAAGCACATTCAACTAGACTAAGATATTGAAAGCAATATGCACTTTACTTGTCTTGCGAATCAGGTACTTATTCGATTATGTTGAATTCTTCCTGGATATAAAATTGGATGTCACCTTGTCCCATGCCAGTTGATGAAGAATGGGAAATATATCTTATGTACAGTTGCTATACTACTAGTTTTGTTTTTCAGAAGTGTATAACGTGAGTTCAAGAGTGTATTTGATAAATTTGAAATTTGAAATTTGAAATATGAATTTATTAAATTACTGAATGTTCAATATTGAAATACTAACATTTGAGTTTATTCTACATTAAATGATAAATGAGCTCCTCCTTATATCTTTTAGAATAAGTTTAGCTTAACAATTCAAAAGCCATTTTATTAATTAAGATGCTCTATTTTTAGTTATAAAAAATTTGAACATAAATATGTTAATATCTTAATCTATTAATTTAAATTATGAAATTGGATTATGAAACAAAGTGTATCATCATTCTACAATCTAAACAAAATATGATCAAAACTACAAGTCCATTTTAACAATGGTAGTGAAAATTTCAATGGTTTGTTGTTTTCTTGTTAAAAAAAAAATCTATATCACTGACAAAATAAAAACCATATATATTTAAAGCAAAACAAGTTTCATTTGCACAAATTTATTTGTCTGTAATGATTTTCATTTTTGGCATAGCATCACAGCAAGGCAAAGACATTTTTATCCTAAAAACTAATGGACTTTTGTTGTATCTCACCAATAGAAAAGGTCAAATTTACATTTGCTACTAGTCATGGTGCTAATGGTGATTTTTCTATACTTTAAGGGAATTTAGAACCTCCTATTTACAATCCCTTCAACTTAGCACCCAATCCAATCTCTCTCCCACCCTCAACTTTCCTTATGTAGTTGGCAAATCTTTGTTTACTATTTTTTTCTTTTCTTCCTTTTTTTTTTGGCTGTTCTGCTTTCCTTTTTTAACCCTTTGCATTAATCTCCTTTACAACTTCCATCATATTTTTTTTGTGTAGGCATCCGTCCAGTTATTCTAAAAAACCGGACAATTTAAAACTCGATCAAATCCAATCAAAAATCGGTTTGACCGGAAAAAACCGGAAGAACAGTCAGTCAAAGCTTTTTTAAAAAAAGGTCAAACATTTTCAATATTATCTTTTGACCTAAATTGTTAAAAATTAGTAATATATCTCATATTTCATACTTTATAAATGTTGTCCTAAAATTTGATATTAGTTTTTAATTAAGTCCATAATTTTAATTCTAAACTTGTTAATGTTCATTAAATAGTATAAATTGCTACTTGATTGTTCTAATTTCTTTGTTTTTCTTGTTAAATATATATTTAAAACATCAAATATATATGAATACCTTTATTAATATTAACATGCTCTTAGGTATTTTACTATAATATTTTAATTTTTAAATAATTTTTATTTATGACAACATCTGGTTCCACCCCTATCGAATCCGGCCAAACCATTGACCCTAATCCCTGAGCTCAACCGAATCAATGCCTGGTCCAAGTCTGAAAACATAGATTTTTTTTCTCCTTCACTTCCTAGAGCAATACCATATCTTTGCAAATTCATTTTTCCTGATAAATACAAATCAAGAGTGGTTGGAATTGATGAAAAGTAGTCAGCAAAAGATAAGCAAGCAGTAAGCTGAACGACCATAATTATTGCACTTCTCAACAGATTCCAAACCGAGGAGCAGATTATATCCATATATATCCTCAGCAAATTGATTGCAAACGGATTTATTTTTTTGGTATTAAATATTTTTCATTGCTGGCCCGAGATTTAGAGGCTCCTGTCATTAAACAGCAAATATGCAAGTCATAATTGCTTTCCATATTGCTAAAGGGTCCACTTGAATTTATGGTACTTACCCTATTAGCTTGTGAGTAATGATGACTAAGGAGTAAGGAGTTATGAAGTATTAATTCTTGAAATTAAGACACTTACTTAAATTGTTGCTAAAATCATAGGAAATAAGTAGTAATATCTTTTTACCATGGTAAGTGTTTTTTCACCTTTGTTGTTTTCCTTGTGATTTCCACCTACTTGGCATCAAAAAAATGTTTCTTCTTTTGTTATTGACATTTTAAGTTTAATATCATAATGAATAGATCCTGGCCTTTAGCTTTCATCATTGTTTTACATGAACCGTGTAGATGAAATGAATAATAAGTGACTCTTTTGCCAAAGAATCCTTCAATTTGTTTGTACCAAACTTGCTTCTTGTTGGACAAAAATTATCGCTGTAAAGATAAATTTCTTGAGAAGTTATTAGTTTGATACAAGTGCTTTTATTTATTTTTTTACGCAGAAAGTCTTAAACTAGAAGCTCTTACCTACAAGTCCGTTGACCTTATCCTCAAGTCAACTCTTCGCGAACTTAATACAAGCTCTCAAAATGCTCAAATTGTAAATTTAGAGCCACCCATGATTATCCCTTACCAGGAAAAAAGAAAAAGCTCTAATTGTCAAGTTGTTATGTCTTGGGCTTTTCGGGCCTGTTCTATGGGCAACGTAACATTTTTTGTACTTGTGCGAGAGATGCATGCGAGTCCTAGGTAGACAAAAATGATGGGTCACAAATATCTCGAGTACAACAACTTTGAGCCCAAAATGAAACTTGATCGTTACCACCTGCCCTTTTACCGTACAACATCTGCCAGAAATCCCCGAAACCCCATTAGAGGCCTGACGGCCAGAGGCTGTGGGCTGATATGAAAGTCCTTTGTTCCTTTAAACCAAAAAAAAAAGGAAAGAGAAAAAAAAAGTATCACGGTATTAAATTTGTATTGCCAAAAAAAAAAAAAGAAAAAAGGATCTACTAGCTTTTTTCAAATTATCCTCGAGAAATAGCAGAGGCGGACGCAGAATGCATCTTGAATGTAATTTTAGATTAGCAACTTTGTGCTTAATTTCAACTTAGAATGTTTTATTTAATCCAATTCATCTATGTGAAATGTACATTAACCAATATGACGTGGAAATAGAATAGATTTAACCAGTAGGAATAGCAAAAAAAAAAAAAAAAAATTAAATGCATGGTTCAAATTCTTCGCTTATGACTTAATCAAAGCTCGGCAAATATTCCCACGTTTACTTCATTCAGCATCATTTGATTCAAATTTGGTAGTCCCCACTTTAGAACGTTGCTTTAAATAAGGTTTGCGGGTGTCCTTTCATGATTCATCACTTGAGGTTTACGTGTGGACATTGGGCTTATATGGATGGTAAAATTCTCAATATCATATTTGGTTGTTTTTCAAGTCTCGTAGATTTGGTTAATGTGCATGGAACAGCAAGACGAATCAATGCTTGGCTTCATAAATCATCATCATTATTTTGTAAATACAACATCGGCCAAAAAAAAAAAAAAAAGAAACTTCTATGGATGCTATTATTGTCAGGGTTAATTTCACTTTGCACCTTTTAACTATATCTCGAAATTTCACTTTAATCATTGAATTTCAAAACGGGATATTTTTTAGGCTCTAAATTATAAATTTTGTACTAAATCTGATACGTTTGAGTGTATATCATATTAAGTGATAAGTGAATAGTTTACCACTTATTTTTAGAAGTAGATTTTGTCTAGAAAATTCTGTGCCATTTAATTAATTCAAATATTCTATTTTTTGTCATCAGACACGTCTAAACATGTTAAAATTTGAAATCAATATAAATGTCAAATCGAGTTATCAAACAGAGTCTAAGTAAGATCGTCAAGAAAGTATGATAGATTTTATACTTAAATGAGTATATCGTAGGGATTAAAATGGAATAAATTTTATATTTCAGAGATTAAAGTGTTGTGAATTTTATACTTTGAGACCAACATGAGACAGATTTATATTTTAAAAATTAAAGTGTTCTGTATTGTATTAAAGTTTAGAGATCTAATCAGAATTCGGGTGCAAAGTGAAACTAACCCTCTTGCACATGCTGCAAAGGTCACGTGCATGGCTGGTCAACCTGTTAGGCTTCCCTCCACACTCCATAAACATTTCCATATTGCTTCTTGATGAAGTGCGTCGATTATTACGTACTGTATTAATTAATCTTTGATAGTACCATAGTGAATCTGGTCGCATCCTAAGCTAAGACGGGATAACTCCAAATTTACTAAATTCGCGTCTTACTCCTTAATTTAGACCACACACACACACACACACATATATATATAGTCTTGAAATTGATTCTCTTTGTTGGATCGTATATGAGTTCTTGCTTGATCGCATGCACAATCTTTCAACTAAGGCCATGCTTGGATTACTTGTTTCCCTTAAAAAATATTGTCATTTTCCGTGATCACATTTCCCTATTACTTTTTTTCCTCACATATATCAAATCGCTACAGTATTTTTTTCACAAAAAAATGAAGGAAAATGCAATCCAAACCCAACCTAAATTTTCGGTATCAATTTTAGTTCTAGCTACATAGGTTATACTTTCTTGATCTAATTGGGGTAGGATCATCTTCTTTTTGTGTCAACATAAATCTATTTAGACACCTATATTGCTTTAGTAGGACAATAAAAGAAAATAAGGTGGCAATTGGGATCCGACACGTTACCCGAAAGAGTGGCTTCGCCATTGTCTATCTCTCATGATGGAGGCAGAGATTTGGATAAAAGTCTCTCTCGTATTCTCCATCTAAATCTGACAGACTTTTCTCATAATCTCATGTTAGAAACCAGTCCCACATTTTAATCAAAGAAAAATAAAATAAAATAAAATCTTCTTTGCAATCCTTAAATTTAGCACAGAATTTGTAAAAAGTCTTCCACTCGATGTAACGGGCAAAATGTCTTAAAACAATTGGCAATTGCTTACAGACATGTCACAACACCGCCAGTCACCAACCATTTGAGAGGCCCCAGCGGAGGAGCGTTGAGGTCGTCTAGCAATCAGCAACTGAAATTTTTCCTCCCTTCCTTGAAATCTTGATCTATCCCCCGGCCCCTCTCAATTTTCAACATTCAATTATGTAGGAATGCAACCTCCCACTTTTTGATAATAAACAATAATAATGATTCTATCCCTTCAAAATCAAGCATCTTTATTATATGTTCTTCTTATATACCCGTTACTAGTAAATGTATATTCTACCAACGAAATAAATGATTATTAACGAGTCAATGTGTATTGCCCAAAGTATAAAATGAGTACTCCATTACCGAAAGAACGCCTCTGCATGTCGATATGAGCTACAGGCTATAGCTATATGGTCACATGACCTCTCTACTCTCCGGTCTCCTCCCTCCTCCCTCCTCCTCTCAGTTTCAGATCATTCCTTTTCTTTTTACTTGTTAGTTGTTGCACAGAAATCTTATAGATCCTCCAAGCTCTATTCGCTGGGCTTGTACTTTCTACATTTTACACCACCCCACCCCCCCCCCTCTCTCTCTCTCTCTTTCTCTTATTTCCACCAAAGACTTTGGAATTGTCATTTTCACTTCTGTTAATCACTGTTTCATCTGTCTCTCGTATAATCCTTGGCTCTAAAGCAACAATAATGGCGTACTAGTACAGTAAAAGAGCACCCCCCAAGGCCCAAGCAAAATCTCCTCTACCCTCCGTTGGTTGCTACTAATTCTTCCTGACCCTCGTTGCCTTTCCTTCCATTCAACCACAAAAAAAGGCATCATTTTTTCCCCTGTAAAGAAAATCTGCTGTACTGGAAAATGGGAAATTGTTCTGGAACCCAGAAGAAATCAACCGCAGAAATCATCCCATCTGAGCTGTTTAGTAAAGGAGGAGCCCAGACCCAGAAGAAATCCACCCTTGAAAGTATCCCAATCCCTTTCCCATCTGAGCTGGTTAGTAAGACCCCCCAGTCGTCAAGCTGTACGGACCACCCAACAGCACCGCCACATTTTACATAAGATTTGCCATTCTCTACAAGCCCGTGTCATTGCAGTACACTCCCTCTGAAATAGTCGAGTCCCCGGTTTTGTACTGCGACTCCGACGTTGTATCGGGGTCGGCGGAGGAGATATTTCGGTACTTGGACTGGAAGTTCCCGGAGCCGGCATTGTTGGTGGGGAGAGATGGGAAGCATGTGAATTCGTTCGGTTGGTTCGATAAGACGACGCCGTTGGTGGTGTGGGTGGTGAATCTGCAGCACAGGAGTATGATGTGGCACTTGGAGAGGATGGTGAGGTGGGGGAGGACTTGGCGGCGCGCGCGGTGGCCGGACCAAAGGGGACGCGGCGATGGGGAGTCGAGCGAGGATGGAGATGAACAAGTTTGGGAGGAATTATGGGCAGCTGATGGAGGTGATGCTGGAGCATGCTCGGATGGAGGAGAGAGTTGTCTTTCCCATATTGGATAAAGCTGATCGAGGTACTAATTGGTGGTTAGTAGAGATTTAGTAGTTATTTATGGGTTAATCTTCAATTATTTTGCGTAATTTGAAGTTTAGTTGAATTTTTTTTTTAGGGGACTGGGGCTGTATTTAGTAAATTTGGGAGCTGATGGAACAGGATTTGTGGGAACAAACCTTTCTATTTTGGTGTTAATTTAGGAGCTTGAGAAATAATGCTTGGCCATACTAAGGAAAAGTGAGAAAGAGAAGGGCCAACGACTGGTCCAGCTCATGAAGAGATAGTTGTAGCGCTACTTATTCTTACTGCATTGTCGTTGAAGGTTCATATTTTAGATGGATGAAATGAAGATCAGTTGGCTTTTTTACTGAATTTAAGACTAGCAGATTCTTGTTTATCTCTTTAAATTTGTGGTCAAGGCTCAAAGTAAATGCAGTATGAAGGCAAATACGCATGCAGAATAGTACTCATTAAGTTTCTATTTTCTGCATTACTATTTTTTGTGCATTTATGCAAGATTAAATTACTTCTGTGGTCGTACTCTCTGGTTGCAAATTGCTTTCTTGTTCGCTAACAAAAGTGGTGAGTTAGTTTATCAGCACTGGGTTGATGTCTGTCGATTGGTAGATGATTTTCAAGTACTAGTGAAAAAAATCTCAGAGATTGAGATTTTGAAGGAAATTGCAATGGAGGGTATCTGAAATTGCATGTGCTTTTACTACCGTTTGGAGAACAAGGGAAGAAAGTTTACATTTCTATATCTATGGTAGCTTCACTGGTATCAGATCTGCATTTCACTTTTGCATCATGAACAAAACTTCAATTACATCTTAGAACCAATTCTTTGGAATACTGGTTTTTTTTTTTAAAAAAAAAACAAATGAAGAAAAAACTAAATAAGGATTATATTAAGGTATGACTTGTGGAAATTGTGCATGTAATAGAAAGAAGAAAAGATCTACTGCCATTAGTAAGTTTGAAATAGACAAAATGAACGAAACTTGGGATTTATACAGCAAAACGTTATAAACATGTTAAAACATTGATTGCTGCGTGTGCAGATAATGAAGGTGACTTGTCTGTCAATGTCCAAGCTGGTTAGTGAATATGGGTTTCTACCAAAATTATGATTTTCTCGGGCATGTAATTATGCAGGATTGTCCAAAGCTGCGAATGAAGAACATGCAAGGGACCTGCCTATAATGAATGGCATCAAAGAAGATATCAAGTCTATTGGTGTTCTGGATTTGGGAAGCCCTGTCTACCAAGAGGCCCTCTTCAACCTTGCTAACCGGTTCAAGATGTTAAAGGTAGGTTCTGCAGTATCTAATTTTGATGTAAAACCATCCAGACATCGCTTTCTACATTCACTTTGCCACCACTTATTCTGCATTCACGGTATTGATGTGGGATTTCTTATGTTGACAGAATAACTGCCAGCATTTTGAGGAGGAGGAGGGAATTACTACCATATATGGAAGCAGCAGACATAGGAAAAGTGCAGCAGGGAAAATTACTGGAACAGTGTCTGGAAGCTATGCGTGAGACGCACACTCATCAGTTTCGCTTTTTCTTGGAAGGACTTCTACCTCAGGATGCTGTCCATTACCTGGACATGATAATCAAGTCCAGTGATAACAATCGAGTATCGTTAATGCTCCACTTGATTGTTGAGTAAAGGTTTGGTTCTTTGTTTCAATGAAAGATGATGCCCAATCCAATTGCTCGGGTGGTTGAAGGCAGCCTCATACTATGGAAAAGTAGCCAGCATCTACCCACTCTGGCTTTCTGCTTTTTAACCAGAGCAAAGTGTTCTCCTTCTATCTAGTTTGATCCGCTTTACACATGTGGCCTGCCCTTTCCAAGTTTGTATGATTTAGTGGGCAAAATTAGATATCAGAAGTGTAAGTTTTGTAACCAGCTTAGACCACAATGCAAGGAAATGTATATTATGGCTGTTTTTCGTGCTTACGTTGCTTCTGCGAAGATTTGATGCAGTAATCAAATGCTATGGGCTTTGCTTCCATGTCTATCAAAGTATCGCAGAAAGCATAACCAGTCTTGAAATACAGAATATACGAGTGAATGAAGAAAAGTAGCGTATTGCTCGAAAGTCTGGACTCAACTCGCAAAGAGCATACATACCCATGATGTTCTTGGGTGTCCATCTTTAGCCTTTTTCTTATCCTCCGTCTTTTTGCTTTCTCTTTCACATTCTTCAAGTGCAAGACTGCAACGCAGCAATCTCATAGCCCTACTTGGCATTGGATTTTATGATCATTGTCATTTTGTAACCAAGGCGCTTGTAACTCTTGCCATTCTTTTTTTTTTTCCTTAAAACAATAAGTGATTTTATGGATTAACTTAAACTTTACAAGATCAAGTAAAAGTTCGATAAGCACTATACAACCAGTGCACTATGGCACCGAGGAAACTATTCTATCACTTGAAATTTTCGGTTACATATTTTCTATGCCAACTCAATGTCACCTATAATATTGTTCATTCTACTAGGACTGGCACTAACAAAATACTGGTTTTACTTTGACTTCCGCATTGGAACGAGAAGCTGGTGCTTGTTTGAGAGTCACGATATATACAGCAACTTCTGCATTTCCATTATCCTGACACCAACTGCACCAATAAACATCCCCAAACACATCATTACTACGATTAACACTTTATTAACTTCGCCAGCAGGTCCATCACCCCTCATTATAACTAGCTACCTTCTACCCATACACCTAGAATAGTTCCAAGAAAAGAAACTATGGAACTAGAATCAAGAGGAACTCCTTCATTAATGCCTCCAATGTAAGCTCAAGCCAAAATTTGCTGTCTTTTTCCAGCCGGTGTACTAAAACAAGTTCTAGCACAACAAAAGGCAAAATGAGGAGAACCCACAAAGCAAAAGAGACGCCTTTTGGTTATTTCACCCAAAAATGGCTAGCTGTAAAGATAAACTAAGCATATTACTGGGCCCAATTGAGCGTCCGAAGGAGTGGATCCAATCTTCTTTCTCCGTCTTCGAATTAGCCACGAAATACATGGTATTCCGCTAGTGGAGAGCTCGAAAGAGTAGGGTTTGTTGAGGGCGTCCTCGGCGCCTTTGACGGTGAGGCAATTGACAGTGGAGATGACGCCACGTGGAATGGCGGAGCTGATGGAGGAATCAAAAGGACGACGTCGTTGAAGTGTGGACCTCATCGGAAACAGCTAACAATATAGCTGAAAGAATTTCTAGCAGCTGTACGAGTCACCATTTAGGAATTTTAGATCACTAGTTTCAGGGAATTTTCTCTTTTTGGCTTTTTCAAAGCAATCAACGACAAAAAGAGTTCCACTGCAATTTTGTTTGAAGGCAATCATCGTTGAAAGTATTGGTATATGAATTAGACGGTTGGTTAATTTTGGTTCAAAGTTTTAGAGGTAGAGAAAACTTGTGTTAAGTCAAATCAATTTGAATTATTAAAAAATTAAAGTGTAAATAATAACAGACACTTGACATAATGTCATAGGTGATTTGAATTGACATAGAAAACATGTTACCGAGAATCTCAAGTGCTATTCTATTTGCTAGTATTTGTTTCGCCTTTTCCATTGTAAAGTGTTAAGGAACTATTCTGAAAAGAAATACTTCTACTCATAATAATGCGAATGGACTGATAGCATTCGTCTAACCCAAACATCCAGCAGCCCAATAATGTGGAAACCCAATTTGTTCACATCATTAACAAGTTCAATACGTGGCCAGTGTAAGACTGACGGGCTTAGCCCTTAAACCTTTTTTTTTTTTCCTGAAATGATAGCCATAACTGTTATATAATCTATTATATCCTATATTAAGGGGAGAAAGAGGACTTAAAGAGACTAAGGGTAACTCGAAAAGGACTAAACTATCACCAGACCATACGGTGATTTTTAAATAGAGCCACTTAATGTGATAATTGATAGGAGTCAAGGTTTAAACCCTTGATCTCTCACCCCACCAAACTTTAATACTTTGAATGTGTTTAGCCTTTAAAACTCAATTAGTGCAAAAATTGTGCAAGGATTTTATGAAAACATGTACAACAAACCATTAAACGATAGACAATGTTTTGAAAATCGAACGCGGACAGACGGGTTCGACCGGTTGAATCGTGAATCGATCATGGCACCGGTCCGGTTCTATGTTAAGGTTAACCATGCTAGAAAACCGGTCCAATCGTGAAACCATCGAAACCGGATTGAACCGATTTTTTTGGTTTTCTCTAGTTTTTTTTTTTTTTTAACGTTTTGCAAAATTTAACTTTCAAAATTCGAACTCATGACCTTTGTAATAGAAGAATAATATAGTAACTGTTGCACTATCACATCTTATTAATTTTTTTATAACTTATTTATATAAAACAAACACTCATATTTCTTTTTTTCATTTTTTTTAACAAAATCTCATTCTCTCATGGTTCTTTCTTTTTAATTTTCAACTTTCTCTCTCTCTCTCTCTCTCTCTTTTTCTCTTTCTCTCTATTCTCTTTTCTTTTGTCACTTCCTTTTTAATCAAACATCTTTATTTTTAATTTATTGATGTTTTCTTACATCTTTTAATTTATTTTTGTCCATTAAATTAAAAAAATTAAAAAAGAATTATTTTTTAATCCAAATTATTTAATGGCACAACCACTTACTTTTATCTTATTTTTTTTGCTTATCAAGTTTGCATTTTTATTTTCGATTCTCTTGACTTCTTTTGAACTCCAAACTTTCTTTTTTAAATTGCAATTTCTAAATCCCAAAACGTAAATTAAAATTAAAATTCACAATGTCTAAATTCTCATAGACGCGAATTCTGTATAATTTCAAAATATTGTGATATTTTTGGGTTGGATTTAAGATTTTTTGGTAGATATAATTGAAATTGAGATGAAATTTATTTGTTTTAACTTATAATTCAAAAACAAATAATTTATTTTTAAAAATCCAAGTTATTCAAAAATAGTAAACTTTTCATCATGTAAAGTATTAAATTAGTCCACTACATGTCTTATTTTGTACATATATATATTTATATAAATTATTTTTTTAAAAATTCATTGAACCAAGGTTAAATCAGTCTGACCTGTTGAATCTCGACCCTTTTACTTCACCGATTCAATTAACGGTCCAGTTTTTAAAATATTGACGACAGATGAACATGGTACAAGCCTCTAATGCAATGCGGTTGAATTAGTTCTGTAAATTTATTATTACCATATCTATATCACATATTGTCGATATATTTGTTTATATCATTATTATATTTTAATATATTTTTTTATTTTTCTAATTATTTTTTTTATCTCACATCTATCTATCATATCACAAAAAATACTACAGTAAAAATATCTCAAATAATTTACGATCGAAACAAACCTTGCTTCCGCAAAGTGACAGGGAGTTCTGGCGGAAATTGTTGTCCGCGCGCAAAAGCCAGTCCAACGGATATCGGGCGACGAGTGGGAAGAGCTGGAGAAGGAACGGCCGCCCCCACCCAGATGAGATCGGAAGCAGCTCTGCCGAAATGGGCATCGAAGCCTTGCATGATGGGAATCGATGAAGCTGGCCGCGGCCCTGTTTTAGGTGCTTCTTTTTTCAACTCCCTCCCTATTTTCTGCCTTTCAAATTCCACTCTTTCAGCTTACAAGATAACTCCAATAGCCTTCTCTCTCTCCCCCCCCCCCCCCCTTTTTTCTCAAACAAAAATACCTTTACAGGACCTATGGTTTATGGATGCGTGTACTGTGCTTGCTCATATCAGAAGGCGCTTTCCACATTGAACTTTGCAGGTTACTCTGTCAAACCCTTTTCTTGATATTGCTCCATATGTGTTCCAATTGATTCCCTTTTCAATATTTTGCTCAAATCCTCAATATTTAGATTGTTGGCATTTTTGAGGTCGTGACCCTTTGATCAAAGGCTGCATTTGGTTATTTACTACTATTTTGACTACCATATTTTAGTTGAATTAAGCTGTATTGACTGATGGGTGTCATGGGAGGAAAGGGTGCCAGAAGAGACCCTTTCCCGAGGGAGTTGAGAAAAATTGCTGATGAAATTATTGAAAAAAGTAGAGAGACGAATTTGCAGGTACTGTTATTTCCACATACATAACAGGTGTTTGAGAATACCACTTAGTGACAGTTATTCCTACGTCAACATCTTAAACTAGTGCTCAATACCGCTCTTCTAATTATATGTGGTTGGAGGCGCGTGGAGGTGGGGGGTGTTTGTCAAGTACAGTGCTCCATTGTTCTCAATTTAGCAAAATTTGGAGCGATGCCTAGAGATCAGTTAAGTCCACAAGCATGGGTCTAGAAATCGGCAATGTGTCTGAAGAAATTAAATGGTAATATCTTAATGAAACAGAAAATAACTTCTGAAGTAGAAGTTTTTTGCCCTTAGAGATATTTTCTGTTCGTTTTTGCTGGCAAAGGTTTCTTCAAGTGCTATTAGCTTCAGAGCAAATATTATTGTCATTATCACATTCATATGCTCCTTCCTCATGCAGATTCAAAAACTTTGAAAGAAGAAAAGAGGGAGGAGTTATTTGAGAATCTGAAAACTGATGAATCCATTGGTTGGGCTGTGGATGTGATAGATCCAAGGGAGCTCTCCTCTAAAATGTTAAAGAAGTAAGAGTTGACCTTTTCTGTTTTACCCTAGCTAACTGAAGCTGTTTGGTTGATGCTACTGATGCTGTTTAATCTTTAACAGACATAAAATAAACCTGAACGAAATATCACATGATTCTGCCATTGGCCTCGTCAGCAGAGTGCTCAACCTGGGTGTTCTTCTTACTGAGGTAAAAGTTCTCTATTTCAGAATATGTATGTTTTTAATGCTTTTAAGCGCATTATTTAAGGCAATAGAGATTGGAATTTGAGCTTTTACATTAAATAAACACAATCACAGCAATTAGAGTACATTTGTGCACAATTAAATGACTTTTGGAATGTTCTGAAATTAGTCAATAACTGTTCAATTATCATGGAAGATGAAATGAATTTCTTAAATGATTTTGAATCTGCTGGATTCAAATTATTACCTTGGTGCTCTGGAGTGATTAACTGCCTTTGAGCCATCTCATTTTCTGGGATATAATCCATGAGTCAAATCCTTCTTTTGTGCTACAGCCAAATCTATTCTTAAGGCCTACCCACTCTCTCCTTTTTGAGCCTGTTCAAATCTTGTAGAATCATGGCTATGTGTTTACCTTTGATTATGTAATCAAAACAATACCAGATTGGAGGAATACTTCACTTTCAAGCTTAAGGGATTGTAGACCACGCTGTAATTGAGTTTCCTTTGATTGTTTCAAATCTCACCATGTGATATGACATATTTGGAGGCCAAATTACTCCTGGGCCTTGTGGCCTTAATCAACTGTCTTGATTTCTCAAGAGGTGGAAGTACCTAATTCTGTGAAGTGTTACAGGTCTATGTGGACACAGTGGGAGATGCTGAAAAATACAGGATCAAGCTTTCTGAAAGATTTCCATCAATTAAATTTGTAGTTGCCAAGAAGGCTGATAGTATCTACCCGTTGTAAGTGGAGCAAGTATAGTTGCAAAGGTGAATCCTTCTCTCTGCCTCAGTTTGAGGTCTCCTTGCATACTTCTCTGGGTCATTATTCTACCTTTCAGGTTACAAGGGATCGAGCATTGCGAGATTGGGTGCTTGATGAAACTGCTGAAAACATGCATAGAAACTTTGGGTCAGGATACCCTGGAGGTATTAATATAACTGTTCTGCTCCATATTGACGCTATATTTTGGTTCTTGCTTTTTCTGGTTAGGGAGCTAAGAGTTTGTTCATCCTTTTAGATCCTGAGACTAAGTCCTGGTTGGATGACCACAAACACTCAGTTTTCGGTTTCCCCACGCTAGTTCGGTTCAGCTGGGGAACTTGCACATCATACTCCAAACATCTTGTTGAAGTATTATGGTGAGACCTTGATCTGAGTTTTTGGTGGATGGCAGTGAGCATGTTTATGCTTCTTTGGCACGTCAGGGCTCTAAAATACTTGTCCAGGTGTCTCTGTGTGTGTGTGTGCATGCACGTGTATGTGTATGTGTACGTATGTCCTTTGTTGTCAAAACTTGGATAAGTGAGTATTTAGCCGAACTATTCATAACATATACCATGATTCTGTAATAAAACTACAAGAAAAACTTGGGGTAGTGTCATTCAAGTTCAATAGGAGTGAAGAATGCTGGCCCCATTTCCATCATGCTGCCAAGCATTAACTAATTGATTAGGTAGCACTTACAGATGAATGTCATGTACCACAAATTATAGAAGCTGCAAACAGCAATAAGGACTGCAATGGACAAACTCTAGGAACTATCCCGGTCTTGAGAATTTCATTTTCTTTTGTCTTTCTTCTCATTGGAATAAGAATAAAAGTCTCATGTGTTCCCTGGATATAAATTAACAGGGTACGTATGTAACGAAAATACTTTGAGAAAGCATCAAGAAAGGTTCATTCTGAACAAGCTGGAGCTGTTCAACCATTTGGTTATTGACATTAGAGTTAGAACCATGTTTCTACTACTTGAATGTTGTATCCTTTCTATTCATTGATCCAGTAATTTGTGCTCTTCTTACATGGTTTGGACCTCACTAAAATTGAACAATTTTATGATAATTGAAGATGCAATAATTGCACTATGAAGCGTGACTTGATTGAAATTTCTTTAGATGATTTCTCTATATACATCAGCTCTTCACCTGGTTATTGATCCCAGAACCATTTCAGTGTTGGCTTATTAACCCTTTTACATTTCAAAGGTTCATAACAGATGCATGTACACATGGCAGTGTTTTTTTGTGTTTCCTCATCTTTAGAATATATCCTCTTGTTCCTATTTTAGGAATCTGATGCTGCTGATGAAGATGGTTTATCTGAAAGGACTCGTAAGCGGCAACTAAAGCTAACAAATGTTGGTTTTACTGCATCAAAGAGGAAAAGTGAAGAAATTGAATCAAGTGGTAAAGGACGTTGCAAGTTTTTCCAGGCTCGTAAGCTTGAGCTGCTCTCTGAGTTTTGAAGCTGAGGTTGGTGTATCTCTAATTAGTGATAGCTTTGTTATTCTTGCTCCTTCACGATGTTTTTGTTCCATTGGCTACAACTAACTCCAGTTTATGAAATTGAATAGAATGACGAAGTAGATTTTTAATCTGGCCAAATTGTAGTTGCAAAGGCATCAAAGTGTGTGTTACAGCATAACTAGTTAAATAGGTACTGAATGACAGTGACAGCAGAATAGAAGTCGCTTATAACCTCTTTCAATACTGTTACACCAAAGTAGACTTAAATGGAATCTGGTAACCATGATTTACTTTCTACCTAACAACAATCTTGATACCCTTACTATTATTGCATAAAGTGATGAAATTTCTGAGGCGTCCATGCCACCTGGTTCAAGTTGTCTGCTTCGGTAATTCAATTTAGAAAAGTTAAACAAGGTCTACTCATGGCGATGTCTACTCACTCCATAGACACCCTGCAACACCTGTAAGCATTTTATTAATGTTTACATTTTTTTATTTCAAAACAGCTATCGGCCTATGTTCTTAGCAGTGTGTCTAGACTACCACAAAGTGATACTTTTTTTTTTTTCCTAACAAACATTAACAGACTTATATAAACACTTGATAGTACATGGATTAATTACAAAAAGGGGCCACTACCCTCATTTCCTTCTGTGCTAAATCTATCAGCCATCTTGGGAAATCTTGTTCCCATTCGATATCATGCACTAACTTTAACACCTCAAAGTGATACTAATGCATGTATTAAGTAGATGATAATGTTTGCATCCACAGTATCTGGAGGAAATCATTAAAACCATCTAAACTTAGAATACCATTTAGCTATCAATACAGCTCATAGATGGTAACACTAACTTAAAGAGAAAGTATTCATAGCTTTTTCTGATGATAGATACTTTTACCTGTCTATATCATCTAAGGAACGATTCTCATAAAGTGAAGACTAGGTTCGTAGTATAACACATGAATGTGGCTCCACTTGAATTCTGCTATTGTGATTTACTAGGATTCCCTTTTACCTTTGCTGGACAAGGTTGTATATGTGTTCAAAATTAGTATTTGTTGTGGGATGCCACCAATACAGCATTATCTGGAAAGTGACCATGATTTTCGTCCCCATGTCAAATGGAATCGACACGAGAGGGACGTATGGGCTATACAACTTGTATTTGTTTTCTTTCATATTCCTAGAAACGATTTAAGGCTGCCAAATTTAAGCATCACCTCTTTAGAATCATATCCTACTCTGTCTTTAAAATGTCAGTCTAACAAAAATTGCCCCAGTATCGAAGAATGTTGAATGAAGTGTGTTAAATTACAGTAAGAGTCTGTAGTCTGGCTACGGATGATTTTAGCTTATCTTTATTCGACAAGTACTGTGAAAATTGTTTGGCAGTATTTGTAAGCATTTCTTAGTTTGTTATTTTGCTCCATAAGTTAATGTTGATGAAACGTTGCTTGGAGCTAGAAATATAATTTTCTGTGATACGTGAAAGTCTTTCATTCCACAAGTCCCCATTCCCAGACTAGTCTTCTCTGTTCTTGTGGAAAAAAAAAAATTTTTTTTTTGGCAGCTTTTCCCAGTAAATCTGAAAAGCAACTAAGTTCCTCACTTGGGTTCGTATATTCACAACGCGTAGTTGATGAAAATTGGAGTTCTGAGAGGTAAAATTATGAACGGTCACTTTATTCTGACAAATGCAACTTCTACACACCAAACATGAACGGGAAACTAAAATCCAGGCTTAATATTCAGCCTATCAAAGAAACGAAAGCTAAAACTAGAGAAATTTCACAATGCAAGGGTTCTAGATTTCTCTGTATCAATGCTAGCTCAATACACAAACACGTACGTATTTATCAGAAGGTAAGCCAAGAGAATTGCTGAAAGGGCTGGATATCTTCTGCAACTATGGATACAGCTTCCTGCGCTGTGATGGTTGTTGTTGCGGTGGATATTGGCACCCCCACCAGCGCCATAAGCGGGTATGGCACCTGCGGCTCCCGGCGTGTAAGGGGTGTTTGATCCCCCGCCGCCATTGCCAGCTAGTTGGCCACCGCCCGTTCCTCTGCCGCCAGTGCCAGCAGATATTGTAACTTCCTCCCATGCCCGTGATGAGCAATCACAGTTTCACCATTTTCGTTGCTGCTAAGGTGTTTCACCTCGCCTTTAGCTTCCACGGTCTTGTGCTCCAACTCAACTGTACCATGCAAACGTTTTTCGAGATGTCGGATCCCACGTACTTAAGATATATTTTTGCAATTCACATTTTCAAGAATTTCAGATGCTAAGCACCAAGCAGTTACGTACCAATGAAGCAATGAACCATAATTCAGTGGCTAATTAATTAACAACGTTAAATTTAGATGGCCGGTACGATTTAAAACTGCTCGCTCACGGGTATGGATGGTGTACCTTTGAATGACCCAACCCAGGAAATTTCCACCAGCACTTTTTGATTGATTCGACTGATGGAATTCTAGTAGCAACAAATAAATCTTTCAAGAAAAAAGCGTGCATGAAAAGACTTTAAACAGTTCAATAATTCATTAAGACCAGAATTTGTGCCAGCAGGATAAAAGGATAAGATGGCATCAAGATATGCAACTAGTTTGCACCAGAGAACTTTATCAAAAGTTGGAAATCAGGAACTTTAATTATATGAGCATCACATAATTGATTAAACTTTCGCATCCACTTTTACAGAAACTTTCTGACCGCATTATGGATCACCTGGGGAACTTACGCAAGGACTTGAAAGGTTTGTACCCCACATCAACAGAACTTTACACTTGAGGAAAAATAATAATCTTAACACTTTTGCAAATATAACTGAAAATATCGAAAATAAAATATGCAAATTCATCAAGTTCGGCTATAACCTGTAAGATGAGCAGCTTTTAGTAGGAAAAAAGGCTCTACCACCGCACCCCCACCCCCCCACCCCCAAAAAAAAAAAAGAAAAAAAGAAGCAAGCTGCTACATGAGATATAATAAATCATCTGAGTAGCTTGAGATAGCTTCTACCTATGCTAATGAAAGAAAGGAAAGATTAAAAAAGAAGAAGAAGAAAATTGAGACAGCTTTGTCGAACTCTATAATGTCATAGAATTACCCGGACTTAATTAAAAGATTTATTTCCTGCATGTTCTTAAGCCAGAAGAGAAACACGGAGATGACTGGTCAGAAAAACAAGAAACTAATAAATTGAATAGAAGGAATAATACCGAGAGGCAAGGCGGTTTGTGGAAGACGACCTGAGGATGCTGTAGCCATGGCATGGTAGTAGAAGACAGGCAAGAGTAGTAGCAACATCATCACTTGGTTGGTCCCCATTTTTCGGGTTGCTTTAGTGGCCTGGCCTTGTATGTAAAACCATGTAAGCTGATCAAGAAATGTGCTCGTACCTCAGTCATCGTGGGTATAATTCCTCTTTTATAGAAGAAGTGGCCATCGGTCCTTTTCAACTGCACAGTGCTTCAACTTAGCTTTTTATTTTTTTCCTAAAGTTATATATATATTTTAAGTACTTTAGTACCTACTTAAAAATTTTTTTTTCTCTATTATCTCGCTTTCCTTTTCTCTTAGTTTGTTAATATGTAGTGATGATGGGAAAGAAGTGCATACCGATCTGCAGTTAAATGTGGGCAAGGACCTTCAGAAAGAAGAAGAACAAAATAAAGTTCTCGATAGGGTTATAAACTGGCGAGTAGTTCGGTCAAAAACTTAAATCGGATTCGAATTGATTGAATTCGAGTTAAGTTCGAGTAGATCAATAGGTCTAGTAAGTCGAATTCAAGTATCTAGTAGTAAGACTCGAAAACTTATCGAGTCTTATTGAATTTTTTAATCTAATTCTTTAATATATCATTATTATGAAATTACCTTTGTGGACACAAGATTGGTTGAATTTACGGAATGTTTCAGTGATACGAATTTTTTTGAAGGGCAATAATGTTTTTTTGCTCAAAAATTGTCCAGAAAAATGAAATCTCCAAATCTTCTTGACTTGAATTCGATAAGACTCGCATTGACTCGAGTCTCATGTGAGTTGAACTCGAGTTCTGTAAACAATGCATCGAGCTCGAGTTCGAGTTTCAGTAACATCATTCGCTCGAGTTCGAGTTTCAGTAATACCATTCGCTCGAGTTTGAGTACGATGATACTCAAATTCGACTCGATTACATTCCTAGTTCTTGAACAGTAGAATATTCTCAAAACTATTTACTATATATTTTTTAAAAAAATTCAAATGGATTGGATATTGACCTATTGTTTATATGAATGGTTACTTTAATTTTTTAAATAAGAATACACGATTTGCAAAATTGTGTAAACAAAATATATTATTATATAAATAAAGTTGTAGTATTTTGATACTATGCATAATAATAAGGTCGTATTTTGTTATATTTTATTTCAAATTACCAAAAAAAAAAAGAGCAAACATAATTTGACTGTTCCTGTTCAAGTAACAAGTTTAGAACTAGTACAGGATTAATCACAAAAGTCTCTCTAAGGTATAGGGATTGTTTGTATATTTTGCCAAGTGCTACATGACGTGTCAGTTGTTGAGGAACCAAGTAAGGCGGCATTAGATGCACATTTTTCTTCTTTTCATTTGGTCATCTGTGTCAAGATTCTATTGCTACTACAATTTAAACATCCGTTACTTCAATGCTGGTTCTTGTTGACCTTATTTTCCAGCTCGGTTCATTTGGATTTTTTTTGGTTTGTAATAATTTAAATTTGGTGCTTTTGTAATTTTTTGAAGCTCGACGAGTCACAATGATCTTTTGCAGCATACTCCTAGCTAGATTTTCAAGGAACTTGTAATTAAACTCCACTAGTTAAGCTAGAAAGAGAATCAAGTAATTAAGGTTGTACCATTCAACTAAGAAGGAACTGGAAATGTACATGATCGAAGAGCAAGAGAATTATAGGAACCCTCAAGAAAAGTACTGAAGAAAAACGTACGAGATATTTTGTACTGGTTGATAGATAGATATTTGCATTCCATACATATGGATGATTCAAGTTGTACAAGGCTTATAGCAAACGCATTTTCCAAACACCTTAGTGCACCTGCCATCAGGCCAGCATTCTTCTGCGCATTTTTGCCTGCAAGTTTTGTGCCTCAGGCAAGGGCCACGAAAACACCTGGATGGTTTGGAGCATAACTTTTGAGCTTCAGCTTCCATGATGAAGACATCTGTTATACAGGAACAACAACTGTTGTAAAACTCTGCACAGCCATGAATTTTATTTAGAACAAACAAGGGAGGTACTTCATGCAGAAAAATTCACGTCTCCTCAATACAATTTCTAATATTACTTGCTTGTAAATTCAAATTAAACAGACGAATGGAATGTAATCCCATTTGATTGAAAATTTTGACTTCATCGTAATGAAATGTAATCCCTTTTGCACGTTCTAAATTAAAGATGGGAGCGGTTAAACCTTACCCGAAACTAAAAGAAGAAAGAGCAATACAATGGTGCCAATGAATCTCCCTTTAACCATCTTTGATTCTGGTATTCCTTCTCTTCGGATCTCTAATTTAGATCAAAAATTTGTTCACGCAAATTAACAAAGCCATTCTTTTTTTCCCTGTGGGTAATCTTGCCAAGCTCTCCCAAGTGTGAGTGAGCCTTCATTTATAACTCGATTGGAGGAGGAACGGTGGAAGCATTAAATGCATCGCTGCCCCTTTCAAACTTTGACTATAAATCGTTTGGAGCTTCGTACATAATTTTCATAAGTGCGTTACGTATTTCAGTCATATTGCTATAATCTTCTGCAGCGTATTCCCATAATACTTTGAACACCCAAGCTCAGGTTGCTAGAGACCCAACTAACTGTTGAAAAGGTTTAATGGAACTTAAAATGTGAATCAGAGGCAACCAACATGGCTAGTGAATGTAGGACCAATATGGTATAGAGAAGATAGCAAATTCAAATAGAGTATATAGACAAATATGCTAGACAGCAAAACAAATTATCACAAAATTTTTACGTTCTCTGTAAATACATTTTTCAATTATCTTTTTATTTCACATTTCCCCGTTCAAGTAACTCGTTAATTAAGATCTAGTTTTGCAGTAAAATTAAGCCCTTACTGCTGCAACCCATTTGTCCTGTTGACATTTTAGTCACTTTTCCATTTCAATCTGACTTTTTTTACGAAATAACACTTGGAGTCCACTTGAAATATTACGATTTGATTGCTTTCCCTTTTTTTCTTTTGGGTTAATGAGATGATCGTCCGTTTGTAGGTTTGCACCTTTGACATCAAAGGAGAACCAAAGAAGACGACTAGTTTCAATTCAAGATCGATAGCAAAACCTTGAGACTCATTAATCATGGTTTAGGTTAACACAACCCAATACTACAGCTGATAATTTTTACTAGCTCATAAGAACTTTCAATTAAATTGAAAACTAATTTGCACAATTTTGCATTGCTCTGCAATTTTATTTAATTATATAAGCATCACTGAAATTCATCGGACTTCAAGGCATACACGGCTTGTAGCATATGCATTTCCCAAAAATTTTGGTGCATCTGCCATCAGGCCAACCTTCGTCGTTGCAGACAAACCTACAAGCATCTCTAAATATACAAGGGCCTTCATATAGCTTGGAAGGTTTAGAGCACATTGCAGCTTCGGCTTCCATGACGAGGCCATGATCTGTGATTTGCAGACGAATGAAAAAGTCAGCTACATATGTTTCAAAAAGTGACACAGAGTTTAGATGGTAAAATTACATGCATGAGGCCTACACGAAAGGTAATACAATTAGGATCTCCTCCATTAATAGAGGGAGAAAAAATTGAACATAACCCAATTTGCTAATGGATTGACAATAATCCTCAAATCTTGCTGATATAGCATGTGGAAAATGTTTTCAATCCCACCAAACAGACCATTAGTAAACTTTCGCAGTCTACGATCTTTAACATTAATAAATTTGAATAAAGAGAAAACAATTTTTTGGGGTAATAGTTTAGAATTTTACATTAGAAGTTCGATCTGAAAGGGATATAAACGCAATATGTAGAAGGGTTTTCAGAATTAGAGGGAGAGAGACATACGGGAAATGAAGAGGAGAAAAACCAGTAAAGTGGCGGTTCCAAGGAATTTTCTCATCTTGATTTTTGAATTTCAATTCAACTTTTGATCGTCTTCATGCCAAAAAAAACAAAAAGAGAGCTTTTTATAGAGGAAGACTGGTGAAGGGGAACTTTTTGAGATAAGTAGTTTGTTGCAGTTTGGAGGACGAAGCATTTAATGCCACTTCATCTCAGTTCTTATTCTAATCTCACTTATCAGATTTTGACAGCGTCGCTGTTAAAATTTCTTATCTCAGTTCGTTTTTTCATACATTTCCATATCTGATCAGTTTATAAAGAATTTAGGTTTATGCAAACAAAGCTTGTAACAGCGGCACTTGGGAGGAAATCCCTTGCATTTCCCATCGGAATAATCTTCTTTAAAGCATGCAAAAATGAAATTGGTTCTGATAAAGCAAACGCCTTTAAAATACTTCGATGGATGGCGCCGAACACAATTTTGACGATATCATCAAATTTTCACAAACAAAAAAACTAAGACATGGTCACATATTTTGCAAACAAAGTGAGAAGAAATCAAAATTACACAATATAGTAGTATCATCTTCAATTCGTTCAGATGAAAAAAAAAGTTTCTGAAGAAATGCAACACATTTTTCAATTGTCTCTTCTATCTCGTATAAGCAGCGAACATGAAAATATTCTTCTGCAAATAAATTCTGCTTCTTTATTTTGGAAAAAAAAAAAACCATCAATCCACCTTGCCCTATTCTTTCAAAAGAAATGGGTAGATAGATGAGAACAGAAGTCCGGAAGAAGAGGCAAAAAGAGTCTTACTGGAAATTAAGAGAAGAAAGAGCAATAAGATGGTGGTGGAGAGGAGGAGTTTACTCTCCATCAATATCCTCATCTCCATTTTCATTGGCCTGTCAAATTTGTTCATGTAATAGAAACGTAATAGTACGTCCAACCTTTCTTAAAGAGCAATATCACCGGCACTGCTGCCATTTTTTCAGAAGCATTAAATTTCTGTTTTGTCGGTACTAAAGCCATTTTTTCAATTAATCCCTTTTCCACTTCTTGGAAAATTTGACCACGCCAACGCAAGCTTTATTTAAAAAAGAAAAAAAAAAATTTGCCGTTGAATTCTTGTGACGCAAATGATCGAAATGGGTTGGTAGATGACGAATTCAATTCATAGTTTTCCCACTTCTTAGCGATGCAAAAGCTGTTATTCACTTCAATGCGTATATATGTTCAGCTTTTTTTCTCTCTGCTGAGGTGAGTTTGAAAAATACAATAATGTACTTGGAAAAAACCTGTACGTTTACTGACGTGATTAGTGGGCATTAATTTGCTTTGGAAAATTGTGATTTGAAAGCATTTGAGTTGGTCTGCAGTTGTTCTGGCCATGACAGTGCAAGAACGATCGAGCTCAAAATGATTGTAATGGAAGTGAGATAATTAAATTGGAGAAAGGCCATTAATTAGTTTAAGAAATGGAAAAATGTTTGTAAGGAAATGCAAATGGCATCAAGAAATAAAACATGCTCAAGCTATTAGCTATGTAGAAGGCGATTGATATACTCATCGACTATAACAAGTGTATAAAGCTTCCAACGACATTAAAGATAGATTTGTGTTACTAATTTATGGATAGGAGCTTTGCATTACTTTACTATTGATTGATGCATGCATTTACTTGGATTCGGCTATTCACAAGGCTTGTAGCAATAGAACTTGGCAGGATTTCCCACGCATTTGCCCATCTACACAGCATGACGGAGTAAAGCATTGAATAGCACTTGCCTGTGGTTGAAACTTGAAAGAGAGTTTATCTTTTTTCCATCAATATCATGATTTTATTTTTTTTCCTCTTGTCCTGTCAAATTTGTTTATGTAATAAAAATTTGATACTCCAACATTTCTTATAAAGCAATATCATAAGTAGCATCGAGTTCCAAGTCTTTTGGGTTTATTTTTGTGGATGAAAAATATAATTTCATTGCATAAAAAACTGCACTAAAAGCAGAAAATATATCGAGCGTACGTGTCGCAGATACAAAAAAAAATATGAAAAAAAAGTTATTAGATCTAACAGATATAGAAAATAATAATAACAAATATTATCAATGCCTTTTGGCTTTTGGAAAGCTTTTAATTCATGCCGGTCTTAAATGGGTCTTTGGGATTTGAATCACAGATTTTTTTACTTTTTAATTTTAATTACAAGGCCTTTTTGATTTATTATTTTAATTACAAAAGTACTTACTTAGAAAAGTAGGCTTTTTTTTTTTTTTTCGCTCTTTGCTAGCAAGATAAAAAAGTTTTTCCCAGCCAGTAGTCTATACGCGCGAACTTTTATATTGTTGGCAGCAGTAATAAATTATTAAAACGATTCAACTATCAAGAACAACATATAGTTTATAAGAATTTTGGTTACAATGTTCTCGATCGATTCATTTCATTGGATTTGAAGATGGAAATTTGCTGCTATTATTCAAGTTGACAGGCAACCCATGTAACACATGCATCGAATGTACTTGCCAATAACTACTTTGCATTCACCATAAGGATAATTTTCTGTAACGCATGCATCAAAACAATCCTCACTACGGATGCAAGGGCCTTCAAAAGTTTTTGATGGTACCCAACATCTCTCAGCTTCAGCTTCAGCTTCCATGAAGATGTCAATATCTGTCATTTACAAGCAATCAAACAATATATCAAAGAGAGAAGTTCATATGCTGCATGGAGGTTCTGGATGTATTTATTTTCGGATTGAGACGAAGATATGATCAGAATTAATTAAGCCCGAATGAATGGAACGATTGCAGCCTCGCATTCTTCGAAGACATTTAGGTTCGGAAGGCCAAAGAAGGGTTTCTTTTTCTTTTGCTTTTTTTTGAATGAGCTAGGCCAAAGAAAGAAAGCTACTTACATGATGTTTATGTACAAAGATGAGCAAATTAAGCTAGAATTACTTGAAGAGAATCAACAGTAGTAAATCAAATATCTTCATAGCCAAAACTGAAAAAAGTTGCGATTTCAGCCAGCAGAGGATCTCTTATTTTTTGTTGCTACAAAGTAAGATAGTGAGAGAATCTTACTGGGAATAAATATAAGAAAGAGCAAAAGCATGGTGCCAAGACACTTTCTCATCTCCATAGTTGATTCCAACCTCTCTGATTTCTTCTGAACTTTCAGTTATGTCTTTGCAACAAGAAGCTTCCTCTTTATGGAGGGCAGACTGGCAAATGATGCATTCATTTCTTGCCAAGTCCAATTTATAAGTCAATTGGGAAAGGAACCAAGGAAGAATTAATATATACACACACATATTTCTGTAAATTTAAAATCGGGAACAACATTTAAGTAAATTTCGACACTAAACTTGTTTTTGGACTTTTGTGGTCATCATTAATTTGTTTCATTTTATGTCTTTGTGCAGTATATGTTCTCGTCTTTCCACAGGGGAAAAAGTCTCAATGGTCAATTTTCATATTAAAAAAAACTTCATTTTTAAGCGTGATCACGTGAGTATATAATAATCGTTCAGTGATATGATTATGATCCCACTGGCGGATCAGGAGGGCAGGGGCGCCCACCGCCAAGATTTTTAAAATCTCTCGATATCCCCTTAAAATATTAAGAGTTTTTCAGTTACATCCTTATAAAAATTAGAACATGCCCCCTCTCCTACCTCCCGCTTCCACAGTCGAAAGCTTTTTAGAAAAATCTAGAAGTATCCCTTCAAGTGTCCATTTTTAATAATTTTACCCTTCAACACTTAATCTCTAGTTCCACCACTCCTAAGGGTATGAACCCGAAGCTCTAGAAACTGACCTATGATGCAAAAATTTCTGACACGTCCTCAAATTGATCTTATACATGGTTACTCTCATCCGGGCTATTACTTCATTTATTTTGCCCAACCAGCCAAAATAAATAAATAAATAAATAAAAGGTCTATTTGGTGTAGTGACAGAAAATCAAGAACATCTACTTGTCAAAATATAGGAAAAATCATTCAAAATATTCCTCATATTTTGCAAAATAACTTTTTTCATCCATCACTTTTAAAAGTGTAATTTTATGTCCCTTATAAATTCACATTGGTCAAATTTGATCCTTATCTAAGTTTTCGACTAGTTTTTTTTTTATTGAAATCCATCACGTGCTTTACGTGTGATCATTTTTAAGGGTAAAATTGTCAAATCAAATTTTGCATAATTCGATTCATAATCCCTCACATTTCACAAAATGAATTTTTCGTCCTTAACATTTTATAAAATGAATTTTTTTTTTATTGAAATCCATCAGATGCCTTGCCTTTGATCATTTTTAAGGGTAAAATTGTCAAATCAAATTTTATGTAATCCGATTCATAATCCATCACATTTCACAAAATGAATTTTTTCATTCCTCATTGATCATGTGTATGAATAGCTTTTTTTTCATTAAACCCATAAATATATCTATTTGATTTCGCCTGAACAGTACGAATAGCATGTAATATATCTCTATTTAATTTCATCTAAACAGGCTAATCGTAGTTGTACACATGCTATTCAATAGATATATATAGGAGTTTAAAACTAACAATTTTACTTTAAATTCATGTATATATCTATATGATCTTACCATGTGAATCTATTCAATATTTGTAATCATTCTCTTTTGGTAATAATTTATTTATTGAGTTGTAAAATAAAATCATCTAATTAATGAGTCTTAAATCGAATTCTATAGTCGTGCTAACAAATTACAATTTAACTCTAAAATTTCTACTCGTCACTTTTCAGACCAACAGTTGAATTATTTACCTTGTGATTGTTTTAAAATTTGAAAGTGCGAATCACTTACTTCTTTTTATTATACTTTTCTTTTATTTATTTTTTCTGTCTAAATTTAATTCAAAATAAACACTCAATAATGGTTAGAATTAAATGTCTTCGTTATTTTCAATTTTTGAGTAAAAAAAATGAATATGAGTGAAAAACTAACAATTTTTTTAAACCCATATATATATATATATATATATATATATATATATATATATATATGATTTACCTAAACAGTACGAATAGCATGTAATATATCTCTATTTGATTTAGCTGTTTGATTTCGCCAGGCAAAATCAAATAGAGATATATTACATGCTATTCGTACTGCTATATTAAAATTAAATAGATATATACATGGAATTAAAAAAACTATTCACACATATAATCAATGAGGGATAAAAAAATTCTTTTTGAAAAATGTGAAAGATGAAAAATTTTATTTTGTTAAATGTGAGGGGCGAAAAAATTCATTCTGTGAAATGTGAGAGACTATGAGTCGACTTATATAAAATTTGATTTAACAATTTTACCCTTAAAAATGATCGTGTGTAAGGCACGTGATGGATTTTGACAAAAAACTAATCGAAAACCTAGAGCTTGTTTGGAAGCTAGTTTTTTGGACAAGTTTTTTAACAACTTTTGCTACAGGAACCCCAAAAAACTTTCTCAAAGTTTTTTACCTACACACTTCAAAATACCTAAAGCACGAAAAAAAAAAATTCAACACAAAAAAAATTCCTTTCCTTTTTTTTCTTCTTCCACCCCCATCCCAACCTACCACCACCGCCAGTGTCGACCACCTCCGCCGTTTCGTCCCTAACTTGTTGCTGGCTATGGAGATGCGCCTGGTCTTCTTTTTTTTTTCTCCCTCTTTTTTCCCTCTCCCCCTGCCATCCTCCCTCGTCTTTTTTTTCTCTCTGCGTCTCCCACATTCATCCCCGCCTCTTTGTCAAAAAAAAAAAAGAAAGAAAAGAAAGATGGTGAGAAGCGGGAAGGGGAACAGGGGGAGGCGGGAGGTGGCGGGGCAGAGGAGGAAGGGGCAGAGGTGGTGGCGGAGGGAGGGGGTGGCGAGGCA